ATCCGCATTCGATGGCAGACCCAAAACTGTACACGGAGAGTTGTACCTGCCATATCAACTCATGGATATCGGATTATGATTTTACCAGACGCAAATAATTGAATAACTTAAATACGTGCCTGTTAAATAAAAGAACAAAGAGCCTCCTTTTTTTGAAATGTTAGTTTGGCCTCCAATTAGGTTTGGCTGAAAACATAAATTGTGCGGCTATATCACTTATTTATACGACCCGGGGTATTCCCATAGTGCCCATGGCTCATTTTTCATGAACACTTTCGTACATTCTCTGAGTTCGTACACCAAGCGTTCTATGTAAATATGTGAACATGTCATTTTACAGATTTTCTGACGTATCAATTATCTATACTCGGAATTACTGCAGCTGCTCATAGACTCTGGTCTCACAGAAGCTACAAAGCAAAATTTCCGCTGCAAGTGATTCTTATGGTGTTCAATTGCATGAGTTTCCAAAACTCAGCTTTAAATTGGTGCCGGGACCATCGAGTGCACCATAAATGCTCTGACACCGATGGTGATCCCCACAACGCGAGCCGAGGATTCTTCTTCTCGCACATTGGATGGCTGATGACCAAAAAATCGGAAGAGGTGAAACGACAAGGCAAATCTATCGACATGTCTGACTTGTACAACAACCCTGTCTTACGTTTCCAGAAAAAGTAAGTTCACGTCTTACTACCTGATTGAGTTAAATGCGCATCTGACAGGCGTGACGTCACATCGACGCTCTGGTACGGACGGGGCGAACGCGGGAATGTGTGCGGGTGAGTGCGAGGGAGAGTCGCATTCCAGCGAGGTGCGCAGAACTCAATCGGGTTGCAGGTATTGTTTGGGTCTGGTAGTTGGATGGATGTAAGTTAAGTTTCTTTTAATGTTTTTTGCAGATATGCGGTACCTTTAATTGGAACTATCTGCTTCATTCTCCCGACTTTTATACCGATGTATTTTTGGGGTGAAACCTTGAACAATGCTTGGCATATGAACATACTCCGCTATGTCCTGGCTCTGCACGCGACGTTGTGCGTCAATAGTGTTGCTCACAAATGGGGCTACAAGCCGTACGATAAAAATATATTGCCAAGTCAAAATATTCTTCTCAGTACTGCCATGCTTGGAGAAGGATTCCACAACTATCACCACGTGTTCCCGTGGGACTACCAGGCAGCAGAACTTGGGAATAAGAAATTTAACCACACTACTTACTTCATAGACTTTTTTGCGTGGGTTGGATGGGCATATGACCTGAAGTCTTCTTCCGAAGAAGTTGTACGGAATCGAGCGGAGAGAACTGGCGATGGAACTGACCTATGGGGTAAACGTGATAAACGTAATTGTATAGAATAATAATAATATTTTTTCTGATTATTTTAGTTTGGATAGTAATAGCACAGTTATAGTGATTTTAAAGAAATGGCAGCTATAACTGAGTATTTACAACTGTCTGACATAGTACAAACTTTGTTGAGTTTGGGACTAGGGCGCAGTGTAAAATGTTCAAGGATGTTATTTATTTTATTTATGTCGAGTGTGTGAATAAATGGTAAAATATTGACAAGCGTTTCAATAATTATACATATGGCAGATACCTACCCTGTTCTCTCCTCCCAAGCCCACTATTTCCACCGTCTTTGGCTGTCTTTTTAATCCTATATCCTGAAATACCTGAAGTTAAGTTATTTGAATGTTAGTTAAAAAGTATACCTATTCAAAAATGTAAACGAGACTTTGGTCTTTTTTCGGAGTTTACCTGAGTGGTCGAATCAGAAATGAGGAGATCTGCAGGAGAACCAAAGTGATGTCCAACCAAACCAAAGTGCTTCACCTCTATTAGTCGTAGAGTGATTGTATACAACGTGTTAATGAAAAAGCGCAAAACCTCAGACACCCCAACTTACCTTTATTATAAAAAAAATATGTATATTATTAAAAATTAATTTTCGCGGATTATTTACGAAGATATTCACTCTTTTTGTTTTCGCCCCGTGCACTTGTTATCTCTTTTTACGCATTTCTGGAAACTTATTGACCTTTCACACGTTGATTGCAAGGCATGCACGTCTATGAGTAGGTAAGTAGTTAACGTAGATAGTTCATTCACCTCTGATAATAGAGTAACGATTAAAATTAAAATATTTTTGTGGTTAAAATTTGACCCTAATTTTTTATTAGTGGAATCGATTCTACTCTCGATTTCGAACAAACTAACTTAAGGTTTTGCGCTTTTTCATTAACACGTTGTATATCCTATAGCCTTCCTCAATTTATGAGCTATTCAACACAAAAATAATTATTTAAATCAAACTGGTAATTCCTGAGATTAGTTAAGTAGAGGGTCAATCTTTGCGGGGGAATTCTCAAATTTTCAGTTTTCCTGCCTCTGTACTTATCAAAGTCTTTGTTTTTATCGAAGAGATGAATGAAACTTTTCATAATTTTTTTAACGCGCTTACTAGTGTTCAACGCCATTGTTTGGCCAACTCTTTTTTCGCACGTGTTTGTGGAAGCTCAGTCATGAATAAGTCAAGGTAAAATAGCAAAATGTCACTGACGTCACACACAATAAGCCGTAGACCAAACTGAAAAATTAGGTTTTTAGCATTCTGACGCCGTTTTTTCCACAAACTTCTGATGTTTGACATACAGATATATTTACATTTCTTGTTATTTTCGGAGGAAGTGACGATAGACATAATCCTTATAAAAAGTTATGTTTACATGGTTGTCCTTCGCCAGTTGTTACTCAAAGTTATAATAAGCCGCGTACTCTCAGTGAGCCGATGTCATCTCAATAATAAAAATTAAAAATAATTTAATTTATAGATATGGCTGAAACATCAAATGAATATTCAACTGAGAAAAAATTGTCAAAGATTAAAAGAGAATAAAAAACAATGAAACAATACGTCATCTTCTCTCCTCCCAAGCGCACTATTTCCTCCGTCTTTGGCTGTCGTTTTCAATCCTATATCCTGAAATTCCTGAAGTTAAGAATTTGAATGTTAGTTAAAAACTATATTCAAAAATGTAATCGAGACTTTGGCCTTTTTTCGGAGTTTACCTGAGTGGTCGAATCAGAAATGAGGAAATCCGCAGGAGAACCAAAATGACCGCAGAATTGCTAAAATCAAGCGAGCAGAGCTGATGAAAAGTTCTCGAGTGGTGATGAGGGGCGGAAGACATAGTGTGAGCAGGACCCCCACTAGGTGGACCGACGATCTGTGAAGGTCGCGGGATGTGCCTGGATGCGGGCGGTGCAAGACCGTTCATTTTGGAAATCCTTGGGGTAGGCTTTTGTTCAGCAGTTGACGTCATTTAACTGAAACGAACAAATGAACGATTGGCCTTTTTTAGACTTTGGTCTAAAAGTGTCGAAGTTCAACAAATAACGTACTTTTGTAAAATAAAAATTATAAAAATATTCACCTCTTTCGCGCAGCACGCAGCCAAGCACCGCGGGTGGACCAATGAGTTCAGGTTGTGGCGTGCATAAAGCCGCCAAAACTTTATCTTATTGTTAAAAATCATGAAATTAATACAAAAAAAAGTTGACTAAAAAAATTTCTGAAGTGCATAAATTAATGCATTTGCATTTTTTTTATATAATTTTATGTACCTATTGAAAAAAAAACTATTGTTACCCAAAAGTATAATATTATTGTTTTCAAATCTTATAAACAAAGACTGTAGATTTTTTTACTAGTAATTTTTAAATTATGTACTTTCAAAAGACAACTCTGCTACTACTCATACTACCTATACTACTGGATATTTTGAATCATACCACAATCAAAAGGTATAAAAGTATTATCATAAGTTACTAAAAGGAAATCAAGAAACATAAAAAAATGTATATTTTACAAAAAATAAAAATTAATTACTGTAGCTACAGTATAGTAGGTATGCATCATCATTTTAATTGTACAAAATAATCACCTAAATGTTAAACTTTAAAATTATTTTATCATATTTTAGATGATTTTCTTGTTCGTTCGTTTCAGCCAAATGACGTCCACTGCTGGACAAAGGCCTTTTCTGGTAATTTTCAGTAATAAAAACTTTGTACCTATGAATTATTAAAAGTATTAAAATCGCATGCGAATTTAATACATCCGAGCGAAACGCCTACTAAAACAATATTATTATTGAGAGCGGACGAATTTTGTGCGAATCGACTACTAAGAGTAGGCGCACACCGTTGATTTTTAGTTGGCCGATAGTTGTGCCCGATTTCAAATTGTATGAAGAATCGGCCAAATTGAATCGGCGTAGTGTGCGCACTCCCATATATGCCCATACTAATCAACAGCCCGACTAAACTATCGGCCGACGAAAAATCAACGGTGTGCGCCTACCCTAAATTCCGATCGACCAGCAGATCAAGCGCCGCAAGTGGAGCTGGATTGGCCACACTCTCCGAAGGGACCCCGATCACATCCCTAAGCAGGCTCTGGATTGGAATCCCCAAGGAAAACGCAAACGTGGTCGACCCAGGCAAACTTGGCGGCGCACTGTAGCGGACGAGGCGAAGAAGATCGGCAAGACCTGGAGCGAGATCAAGCGAGAAGCTCAAGACCGAACGAGATGGAGGACTGTTGTGGACGCTCTGTCCCATTTAGAGGACATAGGACCATAAGTCAAGTAAGTCAAGCGCCTACTCTAAGCCATCGGTCCGGAAATACCGCAGACGACAAAACATTAACGAACACATTGTCCCAAAATAGAAATGTGACATTGTTGTCTGCAACTGCAAACCCTCTGCACATTATTATTCTGTGGTTAAAGTAAAAAGAACAATGTATAACGTAAAGATAAATTTGCATTTAATTGTTATTTGAAGGTGATGAATGCCTACCTAACATAAGTAAAAGTTGTATATATATGGTGGCTTTTTCACACGGTTTTCATTTAAATCTATAGATGCTACACGCGTACTAGCAGTGCCATTATTTGGTTTTAATAATAAGATTATAACTAATATAAACATGGCCGAAATACCACCCGACCCAAATGAAAATCCAACTGAGAAAAACATTCCAAAGAATAAACAAGGATCAAAAATAATTTATCGATACGTCATCTCATTTAGTTACTTGCACCTCGCTGCGTTGTATGGCTTGTACTTATGTTTGACATCAGTGAAGTGGCCAACCATTGGATTTGGTAAGTGTTAGAGTCCCTGCAAACCACAAACTTTTTATCAGCTTTTAATTTGTGTAAGAAATCGCCCGAATGTTTTATAACAGTTTTACACGGCCTGCTTGGATAACTTCACGGTCTCATGCATTCGCAAACCAAGCTTTCGCTATGTATGTGTATATTCTCCATGATGTGTATTTTTCAGGTTTGCTTATGTATCACATAACTATAATAGGCATCACTGCAGGTGCCCATAGACTTTGGTCTCACAGAAGTTACAAAGCGAAATTTCCCCTACAAGTAATTCTTATAGTGCTAAACAGCATGGCGTTCCAAAACACAACTTTAACATGGGCCAGAGACCATCGAGTGCACCATAAATGCTCCGACACCAATGGTGATCCACACAACGCCAACCGTGGATTCTTCTTCTCACATATGGGATGGCTGATGACCAAAAAATCGGACGAGGTGATAAAACAAGGGAAGTCTATGGACATGTCTGACTTATACAACAACCCCGTTTTACGTTTTCAGAGAAAGTAAGTTCACTTAAATATTGCTTGAGTATGTACTAGTAATTTGTTGGATTTAAATTAAGTTTGTTCAAATATCTTGTTGCAGATATGCGTTGCCAGTAATTGGTACTCTTTGCTTCATTCTCCCGACTTTTATACCGATGTATTTCTGGGGTGAAACTTTGAACAATGCTTGGCATATGAACATACTCCGCTATGTCACGGTTCTGCATGTGACGTGCTGCATCAATAGTGTTGCCCACAAATGGGGCTACAAGCCTTACGATAAAAATATATTGCCGAGTCAAAATGTTCTGCTGAGTGCTTTTGCTCTTGGCGAAGGATTCCACAACTATCACCACGTGTTCCCGTGGGACTACCAGGCAGCTGAATTTGGAAATAAAAAGTTGAGTCTCACTACTTGGTTCATCGATTTTTTTGCGAAGATTGGATGGGCATACGATATGAAGACAGCTTCCGAAGAAGTTGTACGGAATCGAGCGGAGAGAACTGGCGATGGAACTGATCTGTGGGGTGCACGTGATAACAATAACTATAAAATATTAGAAAAAGTAGAGTGAAGTCTAAATTCTAATTTATTGAACAAGTTTGGTTTATTTATGTAGGTAGGCACTTGTAGTCAAATTCCACAAAGTACCAGAAGATGAATCAAAGTACAAAAAGTCGATTCAAGTACCTAAAGCGTCCACTACAATGATGATAATTGTGCTTTTTACCTTTTTTCGGCTGGATAGTTGACTTAGTCGAGCAGTTAATCAGTATGGGCATGTATAAAAGTGCGCACATTACACCGATTTAATTTTCATACAAATTAAAGTCGATGGCCTGCGCCTAGGCCTTGTCAAACATGCATTGGTCTACAGTTCATTCGCTGAAAGTTGTAATTGGAAAAAATCTATTAGTTACCTAGTTGGTTAAATAGTTTTCGGTAACAATATGTTATAGCTGCGACACCTTTATTGACCTCATTCACTAATTTTTATTTATTTTATTTTATTTTTCTTTATTCAGAAAACCACAGCTCTTTATAATTGTATTGGTTTGTTGAATTTCATATTTAATGCTTTATTTTCAGCTTGGTTGACTTGTATGAACGCCTGAATGAATTTCAATCACAATAAAATTACATCTACAAATGTTTGCTGTTTGATTAGAACCACTGACTTTATTGACTACCTTATAATGTTTAATAATATACTCTAAGAATAAGTAACGATGAAGTAAGAATCATTTTCTATAATTATTACTCGGCCGTTTGGTGTAGTGGTTCAGAACGGACTACTATGCCGAGAGGTCCCGGGTTCGATTCCCGGCCGGGCAGAAATTTAAATGATGAATTTTAATTTCTGTGACGGGTCTGGGTGTGACTATGTATAATATTTATGTATTTAAAAAAAAAAGTATATAAGTAGTATATCCGTTAAGCTAGCACCCATAACACAAGCATTAAGTTGCTTACTTTGGGGCTAGCTGGCGCTGTGTGAAATTGTCCAAAAGATTTATTATTTATTATTATTATTACTACTAGGTACTCATTTTTACTTGAAAAAATAAAAGAATAGGGTAAGGTAGCAAAGGACAATGGGCAAAATGGTACCCGGCTCCAATAGATATGCTTCTAGTTTCATTTGAAAGGTCTTACCAAGACGAACAACTTTTACTATGACCACCAGCCTCAGATCTGGTTGTGTTCGAAGATAAACATACTTTTTTGCAGAATGGTACCCGGCTCCAATAGTTATGTTTTTAGTGTCATTTGAAAGGTCTTACCAAGACGTACAACATTTACTATTGCCACCAGCCTCAGATCTGGTTGCGTTCGAAGATAAACATACTTTTTGTGTAGTCGAAGTATCACACGTGTCCATCGTATGGTACTTTGGTTATGCGAGGCATGAAGGGTTTACTGCTCCAGCATCCTTCCTTAACTCTATAATAATTTTTAGGGATAATTGTGAAATAAATATTTTTATTTGAAGAACTACTACCTACCCCTTATTAATAAAAAGTTACACCTAGGGATGAACCATGGATTAAAATGACATTTCCATACCAAATGACAATTTAAGCCAGAGTTCAACTAGGGTGTAACTTAATTTTATTAATAAAGGGGTTAGAGTTTTATTACTTCTTAAGGATTTTATTATGGGTTGCTAAAGCGAATAAACCCACAAGACCCAATAAGTCCACCCACAAGATGGACCGACGACCTCATAAAGGTAGCGGGAAGGCGCTGGATGCAGGCTGCAACCAACTGCCCATTGTGGAAATCATTAGGGGAGGCCTATGTTCAACTGGACGTGCTATGGCTAAAATGATCATGATGATGATGATGAAAGAGAATCAAGGGCTAATAGCTTGGGTAGTTCGTCGTAGGTATAATCCTTTCCTTTTCAATGCTTCTTTTAGTTATATTAATAGATTGTAGTACATACTCGTATACATGGATGATTGTGTTATACTTTCTTATAATACTTAGTGGAATTACTGCTTTCAAAACGTGAATTAGAACTGGCCCCATAGCAGATATTTTCCTACATCTAAAGGCCTTTTGAAATATATATTGGTTATGGCTATTGGAGCGGGTACCACTTTCCATACATTTGTGCCCATCATCCTTTCTCCATAGCTCAGTGGTTAGAGTAGTCACCCGGCAGGGGAAAGGACTTTCATTTGAATATTCGTAAGAAAAATGTTTTAATCAAATAAAAATATCTTTAACCATTCATCATTCATTCAAAGTGATGAACTTTGAAATTAGGTGAAGTATCGTATCCTACTTTGACAGAAAGTAATAAACAACAAGAGATTAGTCAAATAAGAATTAATAACATTTAAACTGCGATGTTACAGAGAAGCTATAGTTCGCAAGAACTCTATATTTTCTTTAAAGCTATTATGCTGATCCAACAGTACAGCCTGTATAATATTGATTGAAGTCATTAGTCAAATTGGAAGCACGCTAGTCAGTTGACCTGACTCCGATCGAGTTGGCGGACGAGTCGCCTACATCGCCAGAGACCGCGCGACATTGTTACGAGAAAAAAAGTGAAATGAAATAAACTTAAAAAAGTGTAAAACCAAAAAAATATTTTGGATATTAGTGCCTTTTGAGTGTTTTGAAATTGACAATTAGGACAAAATTATGTAGTGGACTTTATGACGGTAAAAAATATTTACTTTTTTGAAAGTTTTGTAACTGTGGCATTGGCTCTAAATATAGTATTTACCCGAATATTTTCAGTTCCATAATAAAACTGTAGCCTACTTTTTCTACATTTTTAATGCGACGTAAAATCTAAAAACGTGTTTGAAATTGGGTAAGATTGAGAAATATTTTAATTACTTACGTGACAAAATTGTCTGTTGACAATCTTTCTAAAAACTCAGCACATTTTGCTGACAGTAAAATACTGTTTTCAGGTAGGTAGTAGCTACGTAGTAGTATTGCGAAATTCTAAAGCTTGAATGTTTTGAAATAATAAAAGAAGAAAAAAAAATACTTTTTCAAGGAATAAGGAAATTCAACTGAAAATGATCTTGTCTTTTCAAATAATTAGGTTTAACCTTTTAAGAACCGGTAGTTAGTTATCTTTCCTGGTATCATTAGAACATCATTGTTAACTAATTATGAAAATTATCAGGCAATTTCAAACATTTACCCATAGGTCAATCATTTATCATGAATTTTAATTGATGATCTCAAGGAAAAGCTTTTTGCTGATGACTGTTCTGATAATGTTCGTGAAATCTATAGCGCATAAACACTCACTGATTAATCACGAAATCTCAGAAACTTTAACACCTACAAACTTTAAATTTGTAGGTTCTTTATAGGGTGTAGATATCCACTTATAACGAATTTCACGAAACTCCACCCCTAAGGAGGTAAAACGGGTTCCACGCGTAGGTACTCTAGTAAGAGTAATTTATATTAGTTTGAAAATAAGTTACTCAACTATTGCTACTTATACCTATTAAGCGATATGTATTTTTCAGGCTTTATATTTTTCTTTCATATAAATGATTTGCAACTACCAATATAGAGTTTAAGTTAACTAAAATCACACAGTAAACGCTATGACCATATGGTGTAGTGGTTTGCGTATTACTCTAGCGATGGTTGCGTGTTCGATTCCTTCGGGGAGACAGTTTAACCAGCCTAAACCTGCTTACATGGACGTACGTTATTATTTTGTACACCCAAGGCTTCATTGCACCATCTCACTTTGACAGTTACAAACGTCAAAAATTTGTCAAACTTCTTACAAAAAACTCCGGTTATCGTTATACGGTTAAAGTTAGGTGGTGCAACTCAGCCTTAGTGATATTGCAATGTTGACAAACTGCAGACTACAGAAGAATTACTTTATGGTTTATATGTATGCGGAAGTGTTCAAAGATATTAAATGAGGACAAAAAAACTTTAAATCATAAAAAATACGCGCATCAACTGTAACCTCATAGTTTATCAGATCGATTAAGGTTAAATTTGTTGGGTCAGGTCAAAGAATAACTTTAGCTCGTGCTATTTTGTACTTATCACCATTTTGTTATTATTTATACATACTATATAGTTTAGTAAATGAACCTTTTCAGTAAAACTTACAAGGTATTAACCACTGGGGCGATGATTAATATTTTAAGGTGTAGTAAGAGTAAGTAGGCCCCACCCTTCTGTCTCAGGAAGAGTTCCACATAAATAAGTAAACCACTGGCCGTCCCCATCAGCCGACAAGAAAAAGGTTTAGTGAGACCTGTGAACTTTAATGCAACTTCAAAGTAGTGTAGCAAAAGAAGATGCGAAAAAAGAAGATGCTTTCCTTAGCAAATAAGATGTGGATATAAAATTAAAACGAAATACACGTTGCTTATCTTTTAATATTACGAAGCTGCACTTTGATAGGTCAAGATGATAAAAAGACAAAATTATCTAAATAAACTAATATCTATTTAAAACAGAGATTTTGAAACTAAAATTTTAAGGCAGTGGGTTAAGTTTCTCCAGATAATTTTAGAATAAAAATACATAAAAACTGAATGCCATACTTTTTAGTATGTCTTCTGAGTCATGTTTTGTATTACTCGTATTAGGTTATCCTATTAATAAAAATCAAAAAATCAAAATCAAAAATATTTATTCAGTTTAGACCACAAGTGGCACTAAGAACGTCAATAGAAAATAATAAAAAAAGAAAAAGGTAGCCCTTATGGGGCACTTTACATGTCTCCTTATCTTTTGGGCCCTACCAGCGCTTCGAGACAAACATATGGCAAGTGCTGAGAAGAAACGCCGGAACAAACTCAGTCACCACTTATTGCCAGGAATTATCTAACGGTAAGAATAGTCAAATTTAAGTACATCAAATATGTGCAGACTGAACTGACCACGCATCCTTGTCATCAATATAGTCTCGAACCTTGTAGTACCCTTTGGACATAAGGGTATTTTTTATATGTATCTTAAATTTGTTTATTGGCAATTCGACAAGGTTGTGTGGTATTTTGTTAAATATGGTAATACATTTCCCCAAGAATGAATTACCTATCTTATGCAACCTAAATGATTAACAGCAAGTTTATTCTTATGTCTCGTGTTAAATGAGTGGACGTCACTTTTCTTAGTAAATAAATAACTAATAAAACACACTGTTCCCATCAAAATTATTTCAAAATACATAACGATACGCACTCTCATTTAATTTTTGTTCCCTAAGTGATTCGTCGAACCCGCAACTGGATAAGTCAGTAGTTCGTAGTAATCACATGAAGCATTAAAAACTATTATCAATATCATGCGCCTGTAAACTTACTAATAATATAATTGCCATAATCTCTAAGAAATTAACGATATCCATAACTTTCGAGAACCAGTAGGCCTAAGATGCGCGACGCGATAAACTTTTATCGCGCCATTTTGTCGACCCATACATTTGTCGTCTAAAATCATAATATTTTATTACGGCGCGCATCCTAACCCGGCAGGACTCGAACCAGGGACTCGTCGTATTCAAGGAGATCCACCATGCTTCTAACAAACTATTAAAACAGAAGACGGACGACATTTTTAAACGTCGTTTATTTATAAAGCGATATTGATAACCATGCCCCTGACTTTTCGATTCAAATTGATATTCAGTTCGAAGTGTGTTTATTACTGTTCATTTCAATAATAAAACATTCAACTACCTCTTCACAGCTCTTGTTCAAATAAATTGGCTATAACGTTAATGTGATCCAGCAATATTCATATTATTTATTAGCTCTGTTATCACTTAATTTATTTTAATATTTGCATGTCATCAGGTTTCATAGCTTGATGTTTTATGAATACGGTTTTTTGTAACGCCTTTTTCTGAATGATTATCTTAGTAAATCAACCAATCAATCGATCAACATGGAAAGCATTGGGGGAGGCCTATGTTCAACAGTGGACAATGGGCATCCTATGGCTATGATGATGATGATAAACCATGTTTTTGTTTCTTTTTTAATACTATTTTCTGTTCTATTATTTTGTCTGCGAATTCAGCTGCATGTATTTTGATGTGTCTCGGAGTCAATCAAAAAGAAGTTATAAATTAAAATTATAATAAAAATAAACTTTTTTAAAAACAAGCTTTTATTCTGAATTTCGAAAGTTTGTATCGCGCATGGAATTTATTCCTCTTTTTCTCTGTTTGCGCTACAAGCTTTCGAAATTCAGAATAAAAGCTTGTTTTTAAAAAAGTTTATTTTTATTATAATTTTATTTTACACTTTTTAGTTATATCTTAATCTCAGGACCCTGGACGTTATCTAACACTAAAGTGCTCGAAAAGACAAATCCAACGAACCCAAACTCGATGAGTTTCCGCCGTTTTGTTTAGGAGTTCCTATGGCCACCTCCCGACTCCATCATCAGACCAGCTCAATGGTACCATAATATTGCATTGTCATCGGACTTACACATGTATGCAAAATTTCAGCTCAATAGGAAACCGGGAAGTGGGTCAATTTTAAGTTGCAAGATTTGACGACAGACACCAGACATGTGAAAGTAATAAAAAGCTTGAAATTTATTAAAAAAAAAAAGCTATGTTATCTGTCACGTTGCGACAAACGATACAATACAATAGTGTATTGTTGTAAATTAAATTGCGATAAGACGACGCTTGCGCAGCATATGCGCCAACCATGTTTCAGGGGATTCCCCTTTCTGATTCTATGGGATTTATGGGTCACATTTTTTTCAGCTTCAGCTAGAAACGTAGTGATGTTCACTTGATCGAATCTATTAGAAATATTATGTCTAGAATCTCAGTTTTTACACCGTAACATCAGTATCAAATAAATTTGTTACCGTGGAGTAGTCAGTATCAAATAATTTATACATAAAGGATGTATAAATTCATATGAATAAATTATTGTGTAAGTCCTTTTTTTATTTTTTTTTATTTTAGGTGTTAAAAATGCATTGAGTTGCATACCCGCCGCTGTGGTAAGGTCCTACTGGTATTGAACTATGAAATATTCCCTTGCAATTAAATCCATATTGAGTGTGGTAAGTGACAATTAAAATAACTCTACTCTCTTATAAATTGATTATTAAAAATAACAACTTTGTCAATCACTTCAAAAAGTTTAACTGTGTTTAAATTATAAAATTATTTTATCTTAAATTACTTATGTTTTATATTAACGACAAAACTCATCAACTAAAAGATGGGCTATTAATTTATATGCGATTTGGAGCTATTAATTATCCTTATCTTAGAAAAAAACAGTATACGAAAACTAGAACTCTATTTTTTAGTTCAGTCAGTAGGTATTAGCCTTATTTATAATTTTCTGTGGTAACAATTGAGTTGTCATTCTTGTGATGATTATGTATTTAATCATCAATAGCTTTTAGTTCGCGTTTTAGTACCTCCAAGAGTATAATTTCAGAAAATTCTGTGTTCATCAGCTCATCTACGGTAACAAAAGGAAACTTTGTGCATCTTTTATTAAAGTTATAAAAACTTTACCTACATGTAATTTGAACTGTAGGTATACTGTGGGTTAGTCAGTTTTTCCTTTTTAAAACTAGGCATTAACACTATACATAGTCGGGTCAGTCTGTATGCAATTTCACGCATTTCCTGACAAAAACATTTCTTAGGTAGGTACTTCTTACTATGTATAATATACATAATATAATCTTTTTTAGAGTAATCATATGGCATAGAAATCTTTCTTAATGACTAGGTTGTGTGAAGATCTATTTTCGTAAATCATGATAAAAACACACGATAAAAAACGACACGGCCGGTCCCGCAAGTTTTGGCATGTTATGGTAGGCTTTATTGAGGTAGCGTTAGTTTTTGAAACTCACACATTGAATATTTATTTAGGTACCTATCCAATAGTGTTGCTAAGCGCAAAATTCCAACAGCTGAACCGATTTGGCAATTAAGATACTTATTATTCTGTGATTAAGTTAAGTTTTTCTGAAGATAAGTTTTAAGATAATCTTTTCAAATTCAGGAAATAGGTGGGTAACCTTTTTCTTCTTTTTTCTATAGGCATTAGGCATATAAGAATAACAACAGTACGATGTCGGCCGGATCGGTTGGGGGATCCTAAAAACATTTTTGTTTTTATGCTATCTTCATGCGACACATGACCTCTGTGTCTCTCTAATTTATGTATTTTACTATTATTTTATTATCTACAAGACTAACTAATGTGAAAGTAAATAATATTTAATGTTTGTTACGATTTTAAACCTAAATAAAATTTTACTTTGGTAAAAAAAATTTATGGACTCAACAGAAACTTGAACTTAAAATTCTCAAAAGTTGGTCTGCCACTTCCAAATTCAGAATTTAATTATTTTACGTTTATTATGTACAATATACATATTCATATAGGGCGTGTGATTTAGCTAATGAATAACAAAGGTGATCAACATTTTTGCCTAACCTAAAAATACGATTTTTTTTCGGAAGATTATACAGTGATTTGTACATATTTTTTACTTAAGATTTTGACAAAACATTGTATCAACTATTTTCATTTCTCAATTAAGTATAGGGTATGAAATTCGTTTCGTTTCAATTTCGTATTTATTTGTGTGGTATTTACAAAAAAAGAGTTTCCCATAATTAAGATATTACGCCCGTATTTTTAATTGTAGAGACGCTTGGAGGCTTTCTGTGACAGATCTAACGCCAGCAAAGAAGAGCTAAAAACTAGTCTTCCATAAAAAAAAATATTTCAAAAGTTTTTATAGTGCAGTCTGGTAAACTTGACCTTGCATTAATTTGTTTATTGACTTTGTTGATGACACATATTTCCGTCGTAGTAAATTAATGATTATTAATTAATTAACACTCCATCCCTGTCAATTATACATCCATTTGTATGGAAATCATCAGATAAATAAAATATTGATCTAATTGATGTTAACGTTTTTTTTATTGCTGTAAAAATATGTTCCAAACGTTTTTATCGCAAGTCCATGTTAAGTTAAAAACTTGATGCAAGTATCAAGTGTCAACTAATATTATTAAAATTTAATAATTTGATACTTGAATCGCATATTTCATAAAGTTTAGATATCAAGTTCTCTCATGGTAGACTGGGCAAAGTCATAGCTCTATCTTTGTAGCTAGTTTTTAAAACTTTATTTAAACTAAACAAAAGCACAGATCATATAAATTATCTTAGACATAATTAATGACATCATTTTTTTCCTTTTTTTAAAATAACAAAATAATTAAGGACCATCCAAAGCAAATTGCGGGCAAAAGTAAATTTTTGAACCATAGTTTATTAATTAGTGTCGGTTTTTAGATGGAAACATCTAAAATTAGACTTAGATGCCATATATCATGTTGAATTGAAACGTATTTACATTTTTAGCAGGTTTCTTAGTATTCAAATTGCAAGAAAGTTTTTTATTCTTATTTCGTCAAAGTTAATGCTATTAGTGTCAGTTTACTATTTAATTGATAAATAATAGTAGATTATTTCAAAAATTTGGAATAATGTTTGTATAACATGTAAGCTGGACTAATGATCATGTTGTTTTGTAGTAAAAAGATAAAAAAACTGATAAAAACAACCATTTATAGTTCTGTAAAGTATTTCTCTCACCCAAAAGTCAACAATCAATATTGCGTAGGATTTTTTATAGTAGCTAAATGTAAACTAAAATATTATTAAGTTCTCCTACTTTTATGGTTATACTTAATAGTTCCTTAAGAACAAAAGTTAATTAAACAAATATTTGGCTCTTACTAAATGAGTATCAGCGAAATGTGGTAGTGCATTTAGTTGGTACAACTGAATGGAAGAACAGTTCTAAAATCTAAAGCAACCATCAAACCAATCTTGAGTAAATATTTTCAAAATAAAGAGACAATAATAATTTATTGTATTATAGATTTCTCACACAACTGTATTGTTTATTCTATCTCGCCTAAGTGCTAAAATAGCCGAGCATATCCAGCTTTACTACCGATAAAGTAACGTAAACACGGCAATAAACTGTCTATAATAATATTGTGATAATAATAAGATAAAGATAAACAATATACCTGTAATTAAAATTGAATCGTGCATTCTGAAAGTGCATTAGTCCCGGGAAAGGTGAACTGTGCAGAAGTGACACACAAGTGATACAGAAGTGACACACAAGTGACAAGTGAAGTGATTTGAAATGACGAATCAAGTGAGTGAGCCAAGTGTGCCAATCAGCAGAGCTAGAGTAATTTTGTCACAGGTAAGATATTTTAGATTACTCGTTTTTAACCGACTTCAAAAAAGGAGGAGGTTATATGTTCGACTGTATGTATGTTTTTTTTTTCTATGTAGGTATGTTCACCGATTACTCCGTCAATTGTGGACCGATTTTCAAAATTCTTTTTTTGTTCGATAGGGTACACTTCTGAGGTGGTCCCATTGTCACCAAGTCAGGATCTGATGATGGGATCCTAGGGAAATCGAGGGCAACCCTCAAATTTTATAGGCATATATATCGTTTTTCAAACTTTTTCTTAAGTTATTCAAGTATTTGCTCCTGGAAATCATCATCTCATATTGATGAGCTGATGAGTGATGATAGAAGGTAAAACTCCTTAATGCTTAGGAGTTGGAGGATAATTCTTTTAATTTTATAGATAAGCATAGTTTCTAAAGTTATTCAAGTGTTTACATCAGATATTCATCATCTCATCACGATAAACTGGTCATGGTAGGTACAACTCCTTAATGCTTGATAATTCTTTAAATATTATAAGTACAAATAGACCAACAGTTCTATTCTTTCATGTTTTTAAGGTGGGCTGATGGTTTAAGGTCTTTTTAGGTTTCCTATATGGTAACCTGTATTTTGTAGGGAATATTATTTTACACTAGACATGAAGAATATGATCTTAATGTACTGCCTACCTTCACTGGTAACATCAAGGTAATAATTAGTTAACTAAAAAGCAAGAAATAAGTAAAATTTTATAAAAAAAAAAACCGTTTTTATTTTTTTTTAAGCAATATCATCCTGATGTCTTTTGCTTTTGGTGTTCACTGCTGGAGAACAAATCTCTAATTTATGATTTGGCACTGCTGGCCAAACGGGTTGGCTTACAAGGCTGAAGTATTTCAGCTTTTGCAATGTTTTAAAAGGCAGCAGCATTCTTGTACTATTTCTATTGAATGGGATAATGGAAATATTCCTGACCAAGAGAATTTTGCGGGAATCTCATATTTAACTCAAAATTGACGAATCTTATTGCCATAGCCCATAGGCTTGTGTTTCGAAACCTTTGAACCCAGAACTACAAAAAATTCCACCATAAAATAATGTTGTTTTATGACTTGATTTATTACTTGATAGTCCATGGCTAATTGATTCAATCTTCACGTTTCCACGTTAAATTACATTTAATTGCCATTATGTAAAGTCGCTAATTAATTATTATTACATTTAAAGAATTTTAAGAAAACCTAACCTATCATACTAAGATGAATCAAGAGATATGTACTCCCACATAAAAAAAACATGAAATAGGTATCATCTACTACTTAGGCTGAGTTGCAAGACCTAACTTTGACCGTAAATATAACGATAACCGGTTGTTTTTGTATTGAGTTTGACAGATTTTTGACGTTTGTCAATGTTAAAATAAGATGGTGCAACCCAGCCTTAGTATAAAAGTACTAACGAAATATACCTACAACAATTAATTACCTACCTTATGTATGATAACGCAGTTAACTCATACCTTGAGAACAGTGAATCCACTAACTCAGGTGGGATACAAACCCATGACCTTTTGCTTTCTGACCTTTGGTTAACACGCGATAGATACCACCTGAGCTCCCGAGGTTTTGGTGCTAAACTTTGACACTTGCAGACATTTTCTATCGTTATTTAGAGCAAAATGAATGAGAAGTAAAGCATTACATTGTATAAAGTTAACGTTTTATGCCCGTTTTCACCATCAATCCCTAATTTTTAAGTGACCCATATGGTAACACATATGTAATAGGAATTTTGTTTTTATAAAGGTCACTTAAAAATTAGAGATTGATGGTGAAAACAGGCATTATTTTCGTATTACTGCCAAAGCCCATTGAAAACTCGTTTAAAAATATTAACGCGGCAACGCTCTGAAATAATAACTTGTTTCTTCTGGTATAGGTCAGTTTTGGATAAAATTTTCCCTTTCAACTGCATTACAAACAAACGCACTAACAATAATATTTACTATTTTTATAAGACCAGTATAGATTACGGGACCTTGGGGCTCTCCTCGCTTGACTTATCGGTCGGTGGTCTTTGAGACGTAAGTACATACAATGTTGCAGTCTAACCTCTTTAGTGGTTAAAACTTAGTACTTTAATTTTATTTTAAGGTTCTTTAACTTGCTACAAAGTTAACTTTTCGGGTCGACGGATTTCATTTAATTTTATTTGGTGTACCTGTTCTTGTAAGCTTGACCTTCTTCTTCTTTTTCTTAGCCAATCCCATTATTTGGGAAGTAAGCAGTATATTCCTTAGTATAAGCGCATTTAGCTTGTTAAAAGTACTGAAAATGTTACGGAAATTAATAATACAAACCTACATAATGATTGGGACATAGTAATTATCAAAATCTATTATTTAAAAAAAATCGTCCAAGCTCGAACTATAAAATTACGATCACTAAATAAACACGTTTTTTTCACACAAGATTTATTGGTTATAAATAAACATTTTTAACTTACAATATTATTTTCAGCCCAAGACCAATGTACTTACTATAATATATGTATAATATGTATAATACTACGAGTATTGGCTGTTGTAGAGTTTTAATTACGCCTAAATTCCAAAATTTTTACGGCTTGCTTAATTAAAATGGACAGACAAGTAAATGTTCCCCAAGATGGACATTAGGCCAAAATAACAAGTTGGTAACCAGTTATTTTAATGGAAAATTCTAAGATATAACAGATTAAGTGGTGGCTCTACAAGGTTGGAAAGCGAAGCCTCGGTTTGATTGAAAAATAAACAGTATACAGGGTGATTCGTAATGCTATCAATAAACATAATATACAAGGTGTAAAAAGATGTGAAGATCCGTCATTTTGGAAAAGGTCTGATTGGGAGGCTTTTTTGTATGGAATACCTTTAAAAAGGCATTTTCTAGTAAAAAATATTTACATTATATTTATTTGGTCAGTATAACTCGTAGTAAAGTTTTTTTTATTTTATGAAAAACATAAGACTACATCTTCGTTGCAAAATAGCAACAACAGAAGAATAATAAATGCTACTATGTTTTGCTTGATCGCTATTGTACACAAACTGGTTAGTTATGTAGCAATCACATGTAAGCGAGCACTACTGGGTAGTAAAATCAAACTACCCGAACGGCACTAGTAGGTTATAATGAAGCCGAACGAGTGTAGTAATTCCTTCCGTTAAGCTTTGTTTTTCTTCAGATACTGCCGAACTAAACTCTTATTTATACATCTTATGGGAATATATTTATCATGCGGTATTTTGAAGGAACACCCTGTATTCCTGTTCCTGTTCGAGTCGCCAAATAGACCAGGGACCCGGGTCAAACATATTGACGGCAATTTGTTCCAATTTATATTCGTATTGATTGATCGTATTGGAATTATTACTATGTAGGTACCTACGTATATTCTGAATGGGAATAGATTGTTGTTAGATGAATTCACTTTGCGTTTGGCAGAAAACTTTGAATCAGTGTGTGCCTAATTAAGTAACTAAGCAAAATATGTATTCCCTTAAAAACTGAGGCAAATCTATACACTCTAACTTAACACAACAAGTACGTAATACAGTACTATAAGTGTAAGTAATTATTTAACAAGTAGGTATATGTATACTACATTGTATTAGTAAGCTTTATAGTCAACTAAAATAGACGTGGTTTAATCTAACAAGGGGCTAACGAGAACTTCGAAATCGAAGCATACGGAATCATGTTTCTTTTTGATCAATGAGGTTGATTGATGTCTATAATGTCACTAATTGAGGACACCGAGTAATTCACAATTTGTGTCTGCCATCAGGGATGTTTCCCCCCCCGCCCCGCACGGTGTAGTGCTAGCGTACGGAGCTCTCGGGAGTTTTTGCTTATAAAAATAGATAAATCGCTTATAAGTGTTTGTGAGTGTAATAATCGGTTTGTATGTGACACGAACTACGGAAACTGTAAGTTATTCTGTCTATTTATCGCCTCGTTTGTGTTTTCTGGTTAAATATTCGGTGAGTAAACATCTTTTTTATTTTCTCTCGTTGCGGGTGTTTGATAAAATCGGCCCGCGCCAACCGAGGTGGCGGGTCGACCGTAAGCGTGCTGCGTCAGCGGTGCGCGTTTCCATTGCGCCGAACTATAAACTCGTCCGTCATGCCTGTCATGAGCAGTCTGCCCATCATATCTTGTGGGAGTGTGATCTTTGGAAACATGAACGTGATATAATGCTTAATTCAATACAACATACATCTGTTTCCGCAATTTATTACACCGATCTTGTCGCGACAAGGAAAAATTTCCGTGCTTTTAAGCGATTTTGTGAAAAATATTATTGGCAGGTAGTTGCTAATTACTCATAAGATAGGCCCCCTTAATTTAATTTATTGTCCGTGGTGCATAATCTTTTTCTTAAAGGTTTTTAAACCTTTGTTTGTCACCTGTCATCCGCTTTGCAATGGAGGGAAGTCGAACCTTAATTTCGAACTCCTCCTATGTTCTTCTGATTAATTTCGTTGCGGGTCCAATGACAGTTTAACTTTCCCCCGGGACAAACTTGACCTTCATTGGTTGGGTTTTTGTGGCGGTCAAGCTGTAGATCCTGGCTACACAGGAGTTGCAGTGGTGGGAACGAGAGGTGGGAATAGTCCCGTATACTTAATTAAGTTACTGAAACATTTCTACATAATCCAAATTAGGCGTCTTCCTATAACAAGTATCTAAAAATATCTAACGCATTGTCAAACACCTTTACAGTTCAAATGCCTTTTTTAGAGTCAATAAAACTATTGCTATTGCGAATGGTTGCGCAATCCTCTGACAATAATATAAAGTTTACATGGCATCGGCATTTCTAGCTTAGAGCATTCAATTAGTATATTTAGCACATTACAATAGTTTGACTATAATTAATACACTTTTACTATCTGACATTTAATCTGTTAATCATTTGGGTACATCCCAATAGAAATTTCGAGTGCAGATCAAACCAATACAATACTCGTACACTATTCCTAATCGTAATAAGAAAAATACCTTATGATGTCTGTAGTACTTACTGTCAAAAGCACATCTTACCACAAAATAAGGATATTCGTCAATGAATTTTGGAGTTTACCTTAACTTTATGTTTAAAAATCAATAGAGGAGTTGATGTGCTGCTATACGCATACCGTTATTAATATCGTTCAGAACTTGAACTTGAGTTTGAGTTTATTAATAAATTAATGCAAATGCGGAATTAGTCGTAAATACAAAATTATGATCAAAATACTAAATTTGGATATTAATTTATTTATAGCTCATAATATGTGACTATTAATATTTTTAGTGTTTACTTTGTTACAAATATTTATAGTTATATAAACTGTTGTCAAATGAACATCTATGTAAATAATGTTATAATATTGAATTTCACACACTTCACACCCACATACAATTAATTAAAAACTTGTTTAGAATTAAAATACGAGCCGAGGATGTTTTAGAGAAGTTTACAACAAGACCCGTAATAATAGCGCGAACTCTATTTAAACACCCATTTTAATAAACAATAACTGAAAATATTGAATACACCACTAAATTTTTATCACCGAAAAAATTTTAACAGGTTATGTAGAAACGTGTGGAATATTGGAAGCAAAAGAAAAAGAAATGGTTTTCATGAAGTTAATTTTTTTATTAAATTTTCGTTAGTCCGTATTTTACGCGTCACAGCTGGGTCACTCCGCTGCTCGCTAGAGTAATCGTACGCGCTCGCACGCTGCATCGATCTGTCTGTCTCACTCACGCCTCGACCACGCTTCCAGTGTTATTATTACATACTTAGCTAACTTAGACAATTTTTAATTCTAGTAAGTGTTACATTATCATACTTAAATAGTGCTAGCGACGCGTGTGTCAATAAATTACCAATTTTAGGAGGATATTTTGAGTCACTTTATTTTACTCTTTTTTTTGCACAAATGGGATCAGTATCAATAACTCATTACCCAGAATTTTTTTTTTCGGTGATTAAAATTTAGTGGTGTATAGATTAGAGAGAGAAAGTTCCATCTATTATGGCAATGGGACTCATGGAATAGGTAAGTCTTCCGGCGACTTGACCTACTTTCAGCTTGGTCCACGGGCCAAGTCGATTAATTTCGTCCTTTATGATGAACTTTTAGATTTGCAAAGAACTTATTAAAAATTTTCGTGCAATGAAATAGTAAATTATACTCGTAGACTATAAAAACGGATCTATCACTAACTATAACTTTTGCATACGCATCCCAAAAGTTAAATGCAAATCTCTATCATCAGCCTATGACTCTACTCACATTCGGATAATATATCAAAAGCACGTTGCGTGTGTTGCGTTTCATGTATTCGTTGGTAATGGTCTCAGATTATGCGTTTAAAAAGAAGCCTGTTCTATAAATACCGGTCGATTAACCGGTTCACAAACTGTCACAAAAACATCTTAGAATTAGAGCTTTGTTGTTGTTAATAGCGAAGGCTGTGGATGGACAAGAAGAAGATTATTTCAACCGTGTCATAATTCGTAAAAAATATAACTTTGTACTTTACGCGAATATATCAAGCTGTTTGTTTTTTTATTTTTTCGTTATTACACCGAGTAAAGTTTAACTAATAACTAGTATAACAACGATTCTCAGACCTACTGAATAACAAACAAAATTTCATAAAAATCAATCAAGCCGATTCGGAGGAGTTTTTTTACAAACACTGTGACACACAAATTTTATAATTTGATTTGGAGATGTAAATATGCCTAATTGCATTATACAATGTTTTCGGTTTTCATGATGAAATGTGGTTCTAAGAAAAATAGTCTGAATTTCGAGCAGTAGAGTGCTTGCACTTTAGTTAACATTTAGTTATTTGATTACGTTTGAATTTTATTAGCAGAAATGTAAACACATTTTAAATACTTTACGCACGTTCTAGTCTGTCAGCACCTTTAGAAATGTTATTCTAAGAACCTTATCTAAATTGCGAAATATTTCACGAGAAATCGATCCAAAAATGTAGATACGGAAATCACAAACGTATTTTTGTTATTTTAACTTTCAAACATGTTTTGATAAATAAAATCGTCTGTAAATAAGTAGGCAAGGTCCTAAAGTATTCGTAAAATTGCTTCTTAATTTCAGATGGAAGAAATATGGGCAGAAGCTTAATGACTTCAATGAATTCGTGTATGAGAGAATTTTGTGTTCGTAAAATGTTAAGAAGCAATAATGCTAAAATGTCAAATAATAACTCAAAATAAGTATTTTATTTTGCAATCAACTAATCATACTTTACTTGTGTACTTTGATTGTTTATGAAATATTATTTAGGTCAAAAGCGGAAGAGAATTTGCACTACATTCGAGAATGTATTAACGTAAACATTGATAAAATAATACATAGTTGTTAAAACCTTGACATAATGACTTCATATTAGAACATCTACTTTGTAAAAACATAAGTTTTGAATGTGTCGTGACGTCATATAAAAAAACTACAGACTGTCACTTTGGAATTCCATCACCCAATTAACTGTCAAATGGAACGCAATCAAGTTCCAGTCATGGAATTTATATTCCCATGCTTTAAGTACAGTCAGCCGCAATAAAACAGAAGTACTTCTTAGTTAAGTCCGTTTCGTGAGACAGCAGAAACATGCACCCATTTACCTATATCGTTAAAATCAGTACAAAAAATTGAGAGGTAGGTTCTAGTATAGAAAATTTTCTATATCTTCAAAAGTATCTGATAGCGTTATCAAACTGGTGTATGTGCATATAAATGGTATGGTGAAGTCAGTTTGATAATTATCATCATCATTATAATTATTTTATTTATCTTATTTGCTAGATAATCGAAGTTAAGCAGATAAGATTTAAGTTTGTATAAGAAAACTTAACAACGTTTTTGTTGCTCTGTGTACAAATGTAAATTGTCGGAAGAATGCGTTTTATCAATTCCACTGATTAATTAATTAACCCACGTCCTCAATAAGATGACATTGAATTTTTAAGTTTGAGATGTTATAAATAACCTAGAACTATAAAAATAGAATTAAAACTGTTTTTATCACTCTAAACATAAAATTAAGTTTTGTCTTGTTTTTCCGATAATTTAGTATGAGATAATGGCTAATGTCACTAAGCAGATTTTATCGCAATTTTAATTATCTTTCGTAGACATTGATGGTTCATTTTATTACTGTAATATCAATAATCGCATCAATAAATTGGTAGACTAGATAATGAAAAATACTGATTATACAGAAAAGGCCTCATATCCGGCCAGCTTATGGAGTGTATGCCAAATCCTACATTTGCTTCTGGTAAATTTGAGGCGATCGTACTCCAGCAGTAGAGACCAAATGACTTTCGGGCCCGGAATATTAAGGGTCATTCATCATATTATTGGAAAAAAAGCAATGTCATCCTTTTGTTAATTTACGATTTTATTAATATTTAGGAGTCTAATGCCCGTTTTCACCATCAATCCCTAATTTTTAAGTGACCCCTATGGTAACACATAATTAAACAGGAATTTTGTTTTCATAGGGGTCACTTAAAAATTAGGGATTAATGGTGAAAACGGGCATAAGCCTAGGCGCAGACCACCGATTTTTGTCGGCCGATAGTTTAGTCGGGCAGTTAATCAGTGTGGGCATGCATGGAAGTGCGCACAATATTACACCGATTGATTCTTCATACAAATTAGAATCGGGCTCAACTATCGGCCGATTGCCTAGGCTTATATCAATACAATCGGTATTGTACAATCAATTAAAAAACAAAGTTATATTAATATAATTTTAGTTGTACGTGTAAATTGGAAATGTTGTCCCTACTTAGCATCAAACCCTCTGGGTTTAATAGTTTTCACGTTTCGTTTTTTAAAGTTGCTTGGATTTACACTATGAATATCCTATCTTTATTTGCAGGTGCTAGCATGCCTTGCCCTGGATTTCCTTCTGATCGGACTGGGAATGTCCATCAGTTTCGTCACGATGGTGCTGCCAGAGGTCCTGGACGCTCCCGAGGGACTGTCCATCAACAAGAAACAGGCGTCTTGGTTCGGTTGGTATTCAATATTTATTTAAACTTAAATATACAAAAAAAAAAACAAAACAATAATTATCATTTAATTGGTACACAAATCTTTACACTTGTACTTGTAAAAAATATTTTGCGGATGATTCGATACCTAACAAAGGGAGACAACTCATCCTTGGATAAGATTTTCTCGGATAAAATGTCACTTATGACGTTATTTTTTTTAAACAAAATCCTGTTTTTTTTTTTGAAAAAAATGCATGAAATTACATACCCCTGCCGGGACAGGGTAAGGATTGTGGTAAGGATGAGGCAACCCACTAAAATAATCCCGGTACTTTGTCAATCGTCTCAGTGGACAAAACCAAGGGAATCCTTACAACTTTCAACTACCACAGCTTAAAGAAAACGGGACTAATCTAACCTCTCATTCCCACCACTGTAACTCGTCCATTAAGCAATGGTTGTTGGGAGGACATTTATAGTTGACAAACCTTTTCTTGATCCGTGCTTTACAGTTGAGGTGGCCTTTATGAGGGAATAACGCTAGCGCTACATAATCTAGGTACACTATACAGGGTGGAATTTTGTAATGCCACCTGGAGGGAAAGCACTCTTAATACTGTAGATAGTAAATTTTACTGAAAGAAAACATTCCTTTATTTTTGTAAAGAAAGAGAACTGCATTCAAAGATTTCATGGTTTTCTTTTCATTTGATTTATCAAGTTTGTTAGAGAGATTTCATCCTTATACTTAACCCTAACGATCGATGCAATAAAAATACAGGGTGTAATTTTTAACAGATTTTAGTTGGTTCGAATCCCGGGTGTGGCAAGCAAATTTTTGCAAATTTTTGAATGCATTTCTATTTCTTTTAAAAAATAAAGGAATGTTTTCTATGAGAGAATTTTTCTATCTACAATACTAAGAGAACTTTCCCTCCAGGTGGCATTAGAAAATCCCATCCTGTATTTTTAATGTTTCTCAACTTTTACTCAAAAGTTTACCAATATTTCCACAGACCCCTGTCCTAATTCTCTAGGAATTTGACACCGTGTGGTTAATCTGAGGTGTGAAATTGGTTGTTTTCTAAACCGCTATTGTAGGATTTCATGCGGAAGTAATACGACACGACGGCCATTCGAGTAATTATTATTAAGTTACACTATCGAGGTAACGTAGACAGACATGAACTACTTAATAAGTGGGCATAGGTATACGAATACAATACAGACGATCGGCACGACCTCAAAATGTGGCTTCGGTAGGGCTAGGATGCACGCTGCGATAAGCGTTTATCGCGCCATTTTATCGATTTTACGCGATAAGCCCATACATCTGTCGTCTAAAATCATCGATAAGATTTTACCACGGCGCACATCCTAGCCCGGCTGTTGTGGTAAATGGGCTACAGTGACACGCTACGTTACAGTAGAAATACTTATGTATATTCCTAGTTATTTCCAAGGCCGACTGTACTACATTCATCATCATCATCATCATTTCAGCCACAGGACGTCCACTGCTGAACATAGGCCTCCCCCAATGCTTTCCATGTTGATCGATTGGTAGCGGCCTGCACTACATTGTTGTAGAGCAAATAACCTAGATCTTAGATAGATTTGTGCGTAATTTTACCGTAAAACACGGGAGAAACTTGAAAAAAGTGTAATTCACTGACTGTTCATTCGTTCGTTCGTTTCAGCCGAAAGACGTTCACTGCTGGACAAAGGCCTCCCCCAAGGATTTCCACGAAGACCGATCCTGCGCCGCTCGCATCCAGGCACCTCCCGCGACCTTCACCAGATCGTCGGTCCACCTAGTGGGAGGCCTGCCACTCACTGACTGTACATATAATATTAAAACTTTTAGACATCATACATTTCGTTTACCTAGTAACTTTTATCTATAATAAGCTCGTCTCTCGTCTCATCTTGTCCAAAAAGTATCTCTTATGGTAACCTCAGGATTTCTTAGCTCAAGAAAACTGTATTAAAAGTCATTTGAATTACATAATAATTACTTATCTTTCATGTATACTTAACACAGAATTACTAATAATCTTTGTATGTACACAATATTATGAAGGTAAATAGTGAAATGTAACCATTATAAAATGCATCATAAATGTTATGCTAATGTGCTTATATGATATAGAGATAAATTGTGTTCAGATAATAATAAATCTTCAGTTGTAATATTTATTCCACGGCACTTATTTAATCTTTTACGAGATGTGACAATTAAAAGACCATAATAAAAGTTTTTATTAGCCTTTTTCTCACGTGTGGGTGTAACCACTGAGGTTGAAACCCTGGTGTTAGTTTTTATGACCCACCATAGGCGTTTGACATGGCTCAAAAATAAATTAACAGTCAAGATATTACATTCATCTTCAGATCATTAGTTGGTAGATACTTAATTAGTCTTCTCTACAAGAGCACGACCCTTTTTAATTCACCAGAGGTCAATTTAAAGATTTAGACCTCAGCCTAGACGTTGAAGGAATGGATTTCATTTCAGACTATTTTCAGAAAAGCTTGCAGTAGGCTTCGTTAAGTGTTTCTTTTATAATACTACATTATTGACATTAACATTTATTATTTAGTATAACGTACATTGAATTTATAGAAAATACTTTTTATCTAGATCTCAAAAATACGTCATGGAACATTTTTTTATTTGTTAGCTGACCCCGCGACCTCTGATAAGCCATCGCAATTTTTCCTTATTTGCTCATCATTTAGACCTACCTGGTCTACGACAAACATTTTAAAACCATAATCAGCTCAATCGGCCCAGCCGTTCTCGAGTTTTAATCAGACTAACGAACAGCAATTCATTTTTATATAGATTGATAAATCCAATGGGGCTTATAGATCTGCGCCAGTTTTGATGACATAAAAACACTCTAGATAGATTCTCACTAAAGCGCAAAAACACGAATTTTAATTTCTAATGGAATCCCCAGACTATCTGTCGCTTGAGAACCTGTTCTTACCAAAAATTAGCTAAAAATATACGAGCAACAATTTTTAGAACGCCAAACCGACTGTAAAAAGACCATCAGCAGCACATCCAGCTTTACACCATACTACTCTATGTAATTATAATAAGTGCGATTTTCCAACAAAATAGTTGGATGTTACTTTAGTACAAAAAACTAGCTCCTAATCATATTTGACCAGTTTTTGCGCGTTACCGAAACATTGCTGGCTATTTATAGTATACATGACAGCTCATCAGACTGCACATTTTACTTGCAAAATAGTATTTATTACAACTACGTAAGGTATCATATTAATTACCTTGATTTGCTGAGGCCGTCGTCCGAATAAAATATGTTGAATCATGTTATGCAATACAAATAACGGATTCAGAAGTTATTTTAGTCTCGCAGTAACTCGTCATTGTGGGAACATTCTTTTCATAGAGTTTAGTTGCGTGTAGAAATAACTGTAAGGTTGTAAGATTAGGCGCCTGACTGAAGAATGTAAGAGATATTTTGCTACGAAGTGAATCTTATAATTCTTTCTCTACAGGATACAGGAAAAGGAATACACTTTTCCTTTTTTTTTCTACAATTCTAAGCTTTTTATTTAAAAAAAAGTCCACCTACTGTTACTTCAAGTATTTATTATTTTAGTACCGTTCCTTTTTTTACTTTTTCAGGGTCAATAGCGTTCCTCTGCCAGCCACTCGGGAGCATTTTCTCCGGTCCTCTTCTAGACTACTTCGGGCGAAAGAAAGCCTTATTCATAGTGAATATACCGCACCTAATCGCTTGGCTGCTGATGTACTACGCTTGGAACGTTCCCACGCTGTTCATTGGGAACGCACTGCTGGGCATCGGGACTGGGATTATGGAGGCGCCGTCTATCACTTATGTTGGAGAAGTCAGGTAGGTTTTTTTTCAGTCTTTGTGATGGAACCCTTTTGTTTGAAACACTCAAGTAATATATCAATCATTCGAGAATCGCCTGCTTCAGTAGAAGAGACCGAGGAGAGTTGTAACAGAAGAAAGTTGTGATATTGTCGATTTTTGTGAATTCATTTACAATAACGAGCTCGTAAAAGTGCGCGTTTTTAGTTCAAATCTCGATCTAACGAATACGCACTGTTGCTGGCTCGCTGATAGTTAATAGGTTTTAAAAAATCAACACTGTTCCAACTCTCTTGTGACAATTCTCCTGGGTCTCCCCTTGTCACTTATTTATAAGATGTTTGCGAGCTTTCTTAAATTCGTAGATTAAAATTAAACAAAAGAAATAGAAGAACAAGTGAATTATTAAGAATGAATCTCGGTAGCTAGTGCGCGGGTGGTAAAAGGAGGCCGATAAAACGCCTTTGAAGATATTAAAGGTAAATATTCGTTCATACACTCGAGTGATAGCTATTCAGTAAACTCCAGGCGCTATATAAGCTGCTATCGTGGGTCATTTCCAGTTTAGGTATTCAATAGGTCAATGAAACAGCAATCGTCAAAATGAAAAGAGTTTAGAGAATATTGCCTCTATCAAATATGGAGTATCGTGTTCCTGCAGTGAAGGCTACCTATGATGAAGAGTTGAAAAATTAAATTTCTGTATGTTTCTGTTTCATAATACGCTGCTTCTAACAACTAATAATGTACCTAATAGTATAGGTAAGGCAGTGTACCTACTGTATACTTTTTACTGAAATAAAATATTCTTATTCTTCTCCTCAGAACGGAACCATTTATTATCCTAAAGCGCTTTTCAAAAGATTTCAGAATATAAAATACTTTTATGACTTTATGTTACAGTGACCCCTCAATACGAGGGATCCTGACCACGATGACGAACGGCTTCACTTCCACTGGGATGTTCTTGGCGTACCTTCTGGGGACAGTCTTGCCATGGAGACAGGCGGCGCTGGTAGCGCTGACTGTCCCTATCACTACCATGCTGCTGGTATTACTGGTACGTATTATATTTATTGCTAGCGGCCGCCCGCGACTTCGAACGCGTGGATCCCGTTTTACCCCCTTAGGGGTTGAATTTAGCAAAATCCCGTCTTAGTGAGTACCTACGTTCTAAAAGGAACCCCCAAGCAAAATCATAGCACTTGTCGTTTCTGAGATTTCGTTATGAGTGAGTCAGTCAGTGACCTTTCGCTTTTATGAATACTTGTAGAGTTGATTGCAAATTACAGTACACTAAGTTGGTTGGCAAACTTTCGGTTTCAAGTTGCAGCTATTTAGTTCCTCCTTTTATTATATAAAACCCTTTAAGTTAAAAAATACATTATATACAGAGTTCTGGGGCTCTTTTAAAGTTTTTAGAAATTTTACATTCGGCTTTTCCTTCTCAAAAGGTAACCGATCTCTGGCTCACAATTTTGTTGCAATCTCGTTCTTATTACAACTAAAGGACAATGGGCAAAATGGTACCCGGCTCCAATAGATATGTGTCTAGTATCGTTTGAAAGGTCTTACCAAGATGAACAACTTTTACTATGACCACCAGCCTCAGATCTGGTTGTGTACGAAGATATACATACTTTTTTTTAAGAATGGTACCCGGCTCCAATAGTTATGTTTGTAGTGTCATTTGAAAGGTCTTACCAAGACGATCAACATTTACTATGGCCACCAGCCTCAGATCTGGTTGCGTTCGAAGATAAAGATACTTTTTGTGTAACCTAAGTATCATACAGTATGAAGGGGGACGCGCTCGGGGCAGGGCACCGACGATATGGTCGGACGCGGTGAGGAAGACGGTGGGCGGGAGTTTGCATCGTGCGGTCCACACAGCTTATGACCGCAGCCTGTGGAGGAACACTATCTGTGGTCACGATCCTGGGACCGAGGAAGAAGAAGAAGAAGTATCATACGTGTCCATCGTATGGTACTTAGGTTATGCGAGGCAGGAAGGGTTTACTGCTCCAGCATCCTTCCTTAACTCTATAATTATTGATGGGGATAATTGTGAAATAAATATTTTTATTAAAAGAAGTACTACCCCCTTATTAATAAAAAGTTACACCTAGGAAGAACCTTGGATTGACACCAAATGACAATTTAAGCCAGAGTTCAACTAGGGTGTAACTTTAATAATAAAGGGGTTAAAGTTTTATTACTTCTTAAGGGTTTTATTATGGGTTGCTAAAGCGAATTAACCCACAAGACCCAATAAGTCCACCCAAAAGATGGACCGACGACCTCATAAAGGTAGCGGGAAGGCGCTGGATGCATGCCGCCACCAACCGGCCATTGTGGAAATCATTGGGGGAGGCCTATGTTCAACTGGACGTTCTATGGCTAAAATGATCAAGATGATGATGATGAAAGCGAATAAAGGGCTAATAGCTTGGGTAGTTCATCGTAGATATAATCCTTTCCTTTTCGATGCTTCTTTTAGTTATATTAATAGATTGTAGTCATAATACATACTCGTATACATGGATGATTGTGTTATACTTTCATTATAATACTTAGTGGAATTACTGCTTTCAAAACGTGAATTAGAACTGGCCCCATAGCAGACATTTTCTTACATCTAAAGGCCTTTTAAAATATATATTGGTTATGGCTATTGGAGCGGGTACCACTTTCCATACATTTTTGCCCATCATCCAATGCTAGTGTTTACTTTGATGTGCAATCGCGTCCTTTGAACTAAATGATCAATTTTGGAAAGTACAGTCATAACATTGCTATTTTTATCTTAAGTGATCATGCGTAAATCTCATCTGATTCACAGTGCACTTTTTTGATTTACAAAATATTCATTCATCCTATTACATAAGATTAGATACTTGAATATTGATATGACACATATTCAGATGAGTGAGTTAGTGACAATTTATCTAAATGATATCGATAAATACATCTGATTCACGAATAAATATATTCACAATACAAATATCTAGGTACTATCATTTAACTTGTCCTTTCAATCCTGAAGTGAAATGAGATTTGATAAAGATTTTATCATATCCATGGAAAACTACTCCTAATCTAAACCATAGTCTAGACTCAATAACTTTTTGCAAAACCATAAATGATGTACCCATCTAGGTACTTGCATCTTACATTTACACTGATCTTTTTACCAAAAACTGAATCATATTATCTACCATCGTTCGTCACCTAAGATTTTTGTTTTTTGCCTTTTAGTGGAACAACCCTTCTACTAAAATAGTTACTATAGATGGATTTTAGGTAGATTGTTTAATTAATTAATATTATTAAAAAGTTCCAGAATTTGATAATCAGAATCACCTTGTAGACAGAATTAGTATTCTAATAAAAACCTTGTATTTTCATGATAGACAAAACAGGTAAGTGGACTATAAACCAGTGACGAAATTAATGATATGGTGTTGGATGACCTTACTCAATATAAGATTGATTTGATAAAGTTTATCGTTAAACTTTATATGGGTGGAATTACGACACCTTGTTGATTTGGACGTCAATAACAACTAGATGGATAGATACTAAGTTATCTGACGATATAATAGAATATTCAATGTCTTTAGATTACCATGTCACGTCTAGTGGAAAAACCTGGGGATGTGAGTTACAATGACACATCAGGGCTAGATTAATAGGCTTAGTTCTGTCTACATATTATTTCTATTTACTTTTGAATTTATAAAATTAAATATTAGTACAAACATTCAGGCTCCATGCAAGAGTTATTTGTTTCATAATGTTTGTTCTTCATAATAATGTTTCAACAATTAGGTACTTCTAAAAATATGTTTTTGGTCAACAGTGAAACACTTTTATTTCATGATCAGTTCTGTTAAGATGCTAATTTATGATCATTACTACTTTATCCTATACCTTACCAAGTTTCCAAAAATCAAATTACAAAAAATCAAGTTGATATTCTTAACCTCATGTCTTTTAAACTTCAGGTGCCTGAAACTCCAATATGGCTGCTCTCCAAGGGACGCCAAAAAGAGGCCCTCCGATCCCTCTGCCGCCTCCGAGGCTGGGCAAAGCCAGAGGACGTGAAAGAGGAATTTGACGAACTAGTGAACTACAACGACGCCATTCACCAATGCGTGATCTGCGTTAAAGAGGGCAAAGAGGACCTCCGACCATGTGAACATGACAAGGCGAATCTCCTCAAGAAGTTCGTGATGAAGATAAGGCACGTGTTCTTTGTGAAGGAGACCATGAGGCCTTTTGTGCTTGTGATGGCGTATTTCTTCTTCCACACGATGAGTGGGTTGATCCCAGTGAGGCCGAATATGGTGAACGTCTGCAAGGCGTTAGGGATGAAGTACGATTCAAAGGCTATTGTGGTAAGCAGACAATTCATGATAGCTTATTACTCGCACAGTAAACTGTATCACCAAAATATTCATGATATTCTTTTGTGTAGTATCATAAGTGCATTAACACATTCTATTTGATGTAGATTAACGATGAAATACCTACTTAAAGAGACGAGAACTTTAATCGTAATTTTTACTAAATAAGGATTAACAAGTGATTTGAATGGTTTACTTATCAACATGACGCATCATACTGTTTCTCATCTGCATCTTAAGACATAAACCTACAAATCTATACTTATAATAAATCTGTAGAGAGGTCAATTCTGTACATGAAATATATTTTCAAAATTACTATCAGGGGGTGATTAGTGATCGATACTGATGCCAAAAATGCAATCAGTAAAATTTTTGTCTGTCTGTCTGTCTGTCTGTCTGTCTGTCTGTCTGTCTGTCTGTCTGTATGTTCCTTATAGAAACAAAAACTACTTGACGGATTTTAACGAAACTTGGTACAATTATTCTTCATACTCCTGGGCAGGTTATAGGATACTTAGGAATTCCCACGGGAACGGGCATTAGCGGGAAAATCCTTTTGTATGAAAAATCTAAACCGCTTAAGTTAGACGCTTGAAATTGGGCATGTAGGTACCTTATTAAACTTAGAGCTTAGTTACAACAAGGAATTCCCGAAATTCTCACGGAAACGGGAACAAGAGGGAAAATTCTTTTGTATGAAAAATCTAAACCGCTTAAGTTAGACGCTTGAAATTTAGCAAGCAGGTGCCTTAGTAAACTTAAAGCTTAGTTATAACAGGATATTGCAAAATTCTTACGGGAACGGGAGTTAGCGGGAAAAAACATTTGTATGAAAAAATCTAAGCCACTTAAGATAGACGCTTGAAATTTGGCATGCAGGTACCTTAGTAAACTTAAAGCTTAGTTACAACAGGATATTGCGAAATTCCAACGGGAACGGGAGTTAGCAGGAAAAAACATTAGTATGAAAAAATCTAAACCGCGTAAGATAGATGAAGGGGGTAAAACGGGTTCCACGCGTACGAAGTCGCGGGCGGCCGCTAGTATTTACATAAGATAATACCTATGCGTATACTTCAGGATATAATTAGTTTCTATTTAGGTTCATTTCTTCTATTTAAAAAGTTTATTAATTTATTCCTAAGATATCACGAGTAGGTCTAACCAGACATTTATTTAAACCTTTTTACTTACATTATTCACAAAACAATAGCCAAACTAACACTACAGATATTTTGTTCATGCATATAATTTATTGTGCTGGAATCACACTTGCTACCTCAATATTTAGTAGGTAGTTTTAGCACACTGCGTCATAAGTCATCAAAGTAAAATCTCGTTTTCTCACCTGATTTCCCTTATCTTTCAGGTCCTAGTCGGAGCAGTCTTCATCGTGATGAACCTTCTCTCCGCCGCCATCGTGAAGCTGATCGGAAAACGGAAGCTCGTGCTCAGCTCCCTCTTTGCCACTGCCTGCTGTAGTTACAGCATCAGCATCTACGCTGGCACTCAGCTCCCAGCAAGCGTGTTCTCGTATGAAGTCCACACATTCCCGGAGGAGAAGGAGATCCTGCCTGTCGTGCTGTTTATGCTGCTGGTCAGCTTCAGCAGCTTGGGTATACCCTGGGTGCTTCTGTCTGAGGTGTTCCCATTTAGGTTAGTGTTGTGTACCCTTTTTGGATCAATAATGTCTAGCCTGTGACAAGCAAACTCAAATTCTTTATGAATGGAATCAGAATTCAGTTTGAAATTTCGATGTTTAGGATAACAAATTTATTTATAGATGTACTTATAGCCAGGTGATATTTCAAAAGAACCATTGTATTAAGTAAAGTATCATTTACAAATAAGTTTAGCCTTCATACAATTATCACTCCATCATTGACCTCGATTTATTTTTATGGAGTTATAGCTATAACTTCATACGTGCGATATAATGTTATGTAGACTAAAGTAGTCTAGTAAGTGCTAGAGAAAATTGAGTTTTCGTGATGGTGATGAAACTGTATTTTCGTGATTGCCCTTAGATAAATCTAGTTGTCTCTTGATAATGTATTTTTGAGGTATAGAAAAAGATAGGATAATTTTTTTTGAAATTGTTAGTGAATCTACGATTTCTAATTTATTATTTACTAGCGGCCGCCCGCGACTTCGTACGCGTGGATCCTGTTTTACCCCCTTCATCTATCTTACGCGGTTTAGATTTTTTCATACAAATGTTTTTTCCCGCTAACTCCCGTTCCCGTTGGAATATCGCAATATCGTGTTGTAACTAAGCTTTAAGTTTACTAAGGGACCTGCTTGCCTAATTTAAAGCGTCTAACTTAAGCGGTTTAGATTTTTCATACAAAAGGATTTTCCCGGTAATTCCTGTTCTTGTGGGAATTTCGAGAATTCCTTTCTTATTGGACCTCTACGGTATCTAAGCTACGACCCTTATAAATTTCATGTGCCTACGTTTAGCCGTTTAGGCTGTGCGTGGGTATGTCAGTGAGTCAGTCATACAAAAGGAATTTCCCGCTAATTCCAGTTCCCGTGGGAATTTTGCAATATCCTGTTGTTACTAAGCTTTAAGTTTACTAATGTACCTGCATGCCAAATTTTAAGCGTCTAACTTACGCGGTTTAGATTTTTTCATACAAATGTTTTTTCTCGCTAATTCCCGTTCCCGTAAGAATTTTGCAATATCCTATTATAACCAAGCTTTAAGTTTACTAAGGTACCTGCTTGCCTAATTTAAAGCGTCTAACTTAAGCGGTTTAGATTTTTCATACAAAAGGATTTTCCCGCTAATGCCCGTTCCCGTGGGAATTCCTAAGTATCCTATAACCTGCCCAGGAGTATGAAGAATAATTGTACCAAGTTTCGTTAAAATCCGTCGATTAGTTTTTGTTTCTATAAGGAACATACAGACAGACAGACAGACAGACAGACAGACAGACAGACAGACAGACAGACAAAAATTTTACTGATTGCATTTTTGGCATCAGTATCGATCACTAATCACTCCCTGATAGTTATTTTGAAAATATACTTCATGTACAGAATTGACCTCTCTACAGATTTATTATANTAGCCGTTTACCTTATTTCGAGATACTGAAATCTAATATTTATGTCCTACCTACTTTAGTAAGTAGAAATAATTTGGACTTGATGTTTGTCATTCATTGTTTTCATTTGTTATTGCAGCCCACAACGGTGTTCACGGTCGATGGAGACACCTTCACCCAGGTCCAAGACTACGGCAGCAAAGGTAAAATCACCCTGAAGAGGGAGTTCTCCGCTAACCAATTTAAATTGGTAAGTTACATGCACTATTGCACTACATTATTTATTATTTATATTACTTACTAGCTTTCCGCCCGCGGCTTCGCCCGCGTGGAATTTTGTCTGTCACAGAAAAACTTTATCGCGCGCGTCCCTGTTTCAAAAACCGGGATAAAAACTATCCTATGTTCTTTCCCGGGACTCAAACTATCTCTATGCCAAATTTCATCAAAATCGGTTGCGAGGTTTAAGCGGGAAAGCGTAACAGACAGACAGACAGAGAGACAGACAGACAGTTACTTTCGCATTTATAATATTAGTTGGGATTAGTTGGGATTATGCATATTTTTAGAATTGTCTTATTTGGTAATGAATAACTGGTCCATCTGTACCTCTAGCATGAACAACTTTCGTCTTCGAATTGTTTGGGTACTCGATAAAATTTGATAATCAATCTTCGAATTAAACGATACCGTGACAATTTTGATTCTCAAAATAAGTTTCGTGCAACCACATCTCATACTAAGTTCACTTTACGACACGTTCACAAGGGCGCTGTTGTAGTTTTCTTACTAAATCTTTTGATGGCGATTCGAGTACGCAAACGATTTGAACTCGAAAGTTTTTCGTGCTAGCCGTACTGCTTTCTTCGGGTTAAAATATTGGTTTTACCTACATTAGTCTCTACACGCGTGTTACTCTTTTTTCTGAGGAATCACATTAATACATACATAATATGAAAATTACAATCTTACCGCCTGTTTCTGAGTTGAGATTTTTAGCTTTAGCGTTCTAATTCGACTTTTTCTTATTTACAGACCATGACATCTAGTAAATGGGACGGTGTCGCCTACAGATACTACGTGCCCGCCTAATTTAGAATAAGTTATTTCTAAAGAGAATCGATGGTTGACCAGTGAAAAATATCTGATCTGTTGTAATTTATACAAATATTTATAAAAAAACTACTTAATATCGTTTTATTTTTCCTTTTTACCTATTTGAGAGAGATCCTAGATAACAACTAATTCGCAGACAACATGAAATCGAAAATAGGTAGGTACTAAATCGATGAGTGCTCTGCTATCGATAGATTTTATCAAACTGCTTTTGATAATTGATTATTATTGATCAGAAAAGCACTTAATTTCGTTGCCATTGCAGACATTCTATCAGATTAGGTCATCCTAGGCAATTAGGTCATCGTAGGCAGTCTACTTAAATAACATTTTTGGATTCTTTGAATGTGTCCTAGTTTTGGAGCGAGTCCGCGGGCCATTTTGATAGGGACTTAAAAATTCGTGTAAAATAAGGAAAATCTTTAGCTAAGGGACATTCAGAAAGTATGTCAAAATTAAAATTGCTATTACCTTCATATGTCAGTTATCACGGTTATATAGAATAATATTCTTCATCTTAGCCCTTAGGTGTACCGACCGACTTAGAGACGTCAGAAATTTTTTTTCCCCAAGTGGGCTACTGAAAAAGTTAGTTGTTAAAAATTTAGTATTATAAAGCCTGCCAACCCTGAGAAAAAGCAGGTTTTTTATGGGACAGAAGGCGAACGAGCAGACGGATCACCTGATGGTAAGTGATTACCGTCGCCCATAGACACCCGTAGTCCCGGGGACGTTACAGGTTCGGAAGATATGCAGAACTTTGGAAAATGTATCTTTACCTATAGACACTGTTACTAAGGAGATAGAATAGTAGGAAATATTTCAGAGATAGTTTAGTATGAAAATAAAAAAAAAACATAAAATTGTTTGTTTGTAATACAAACTTATAAATTAAATGGACTGAATAGATAATAGGCCAAGGCCAAGATAATAAAAGATCCTCAGGAACACGATGCACAATGTTATCACGGCCCCAAACTAAATGATAGATGTTTATCTCCAAAGCAAATTGTAGCCGATACAAGAAAACCCATAGATTTTAGGGTAGATCAAACGAACAATAAATTGATAAAGATTTTTATCGATTTTGCAATAAAGATAATAGGGAGATTGCAAATTTATATAGAACACCAATTGCATTTCCACAGTTTGTTCCAACAATCATCCTTACAATGGCGTACTTTGGCAAGGAATACAAATTTGAGAAGGAGGAGAAGTTTGATGAGTTCATCAAAGCTGGTATGGATTTAAAATTATTTAAATTAAATTAAATAAAACATACAAACAAAACTCTCCATATAAACTATGAAATGACACTCAAGTTCAATATGATTTTAGTAAATCGTACCTTAATCAGTATTTTCTAGCAAAAAAAAATATTGTACCTACTCAAGTTCTAGTCCAATATAAAGATAATGTTATCATAAAAAGTATCAGAGAAAATCGCTATTACCAATGTTAAATAAATGTCATTGTCAATGTTTATTATTTGTAAACTTTGCCTTGAAATTCCTTAGTTTTATTTTATTGCATTTTTTTGATTAAAATTTAATTTACCAACCAGGCGAAGTGGAAATCATTGGGGGAGGCTTACCTATGCTCAGCAGTAGACGTTCTGTGGCTGAAATGATGATGATTTACTTGATCTTCAAAATCAAAAGACTTTTATTTTACCTGCTTAGCTCGCACTTATTACGTGTCATGTACGTTATAAATTACTGTATTTGATTGCAAAAGAGGCTGACAAAGGTGACTGAGTTTCTTCCGCCACTTCTTCTCAGCACAAGCCCATATGTTGTCCCGAAGTAGTGGTAGGGCAAGCTTTATTTGGGACTTGTACGAGTATAAGTGCCTTGCAAAGAGCATTGTGTACTGAATAAACTATTTTATTTTATTTTTATTTACTTCAACATCCCTACAGTTGCCTCTGGTGATGGCGCGGGTGCGTTCCTGGACTTCAAGCCCAACTACAAAATGGAGAAGAAGGGTGATGAATACGTCATGACCATCTCCGAAGGTTCCTTCAAGAAGGAGGTCGCCTTCAAGCCAGGTGTGCCTTTTGACGAGACCATGAAAAACGGACTTAAGGTAATTTAAAACTTAGATCGTTTTATAAGGTTGAATGTAGAGTAACACAACGGCGATAATTTAAAATTTTATCCTGGCTATCTATCAAATATCCTAAAAATCCTGGTGATGACGGTTCGAGAAATTCAACGGGACATCGTATTAATTCATGAACTAAGTATGACAAGAAAGCCAAAATATCAACTTCACCACTTTTTTTGTATGAAAGTTAGTCTTCAAATTGGTTTGGAAGTTTTGCTAATTTTGTTGATTTTTTTTAACTTCACTGCTCAGGCTGTCTCTGAGACCTGTTTATTAATATTTCACTTATTTTTCAGTGCACCTCAGTATTCACGGTCGATGGAGATACCTTCACCCAGGTCCAGGACTACGGCAGCAAAGGAAAGGTCACCATGAAGAGAGAGTTCTCACCTGACCAACTTAAAATTGTAAGTTGATACTAACAAGCTGTAAAGAAGAACATTTAGGGTCATAGCAGACTTATCAACTCGGAAAGGGATCAACATCGTATCGTCTTTCGCGAGCTGTCATCGGCTTCGCGCGCTGTCAACCGCAAGTTGACGCGTTTACACGCGCGTTCCTGTTGATGAGCACCTTCATGCTGTATAACGTAGAGCTGGCTAGCTGGAACCGCTATGATAGAACTGTCATTTATATTCAAATGTGATGTTGTCTTTAGCTGTGTAATGGCTGTGCCGAACTCTCTATTGTAAATATTCTACGTGTGCTTTGATACCAATATATTTATTATGTTACTACCAACTACTGTGTTTATTGCTCTGTAGCGGACTTAATATATCCCTAACAGTTCCAGACGCGTTATGGAGTTTCATACAAAAAATACTGACCGCCTTGAGTACGATCCCTTTCCGGGTTGCTAAGTGTGCTACGTCCTTTAGGCTGGATTGCAACAACTTACTTTACACAAACTCAAAAGTCTGGCAAACTCTATACAAAAGCACTGGTTATGGTTATAGTTACGTTTAAAGTAAGGTGGAGCAACTCAACCTTAAACATTATTATTCACAAATTGAAAAAAATCTGACAGATTTGAGATGCAATGTGTTATGAAACATGTTATTTTATATTTTTTTCTCTTTTTCAGTCCCTCCAATCCAGTAATTACGATGGAGTCGCTTACAGATACTACGTACCTGTCTAAGTCGCCTTGATAAATCAGTACCTACTTATAAGTTATTAATAACTAAAGAAAATAAATAATGTTTGACCAATAAAAGTCTGATCTGTGTTATACCTAAATAAACATAATAATATTTTTTAACAAAAGATGTAATATTTTTGTTTTATTTTCTTCGTCATATAATTATATCGTAACACCGTAAGCCATGGTCCCATGTAGGTAGGTAGTTTTTCCACGCCAAAGAATAGACCACAGAACTATAATTCATTATCACAGTAATGTAATCGAAACAATGCATTTCGACTTTGTAGGGAAGTAAACAGTTATTTTTTAGGGTTCCGTACCCAAGGATACACTAAAAACAATACACTAAGACTTTGCTGTCTGTCTGTCTCCACTCTCCAGGCCGTATCTCACGAACCCTGGTAGCTAGCTAGCTACGGCCATAGATAAGACAGTGGAAATTTTCTTTCACACATAATGTATTTCTGTTGCTGCTATACTTAACGACAAATAAAACAAATACGATTTTAACTATACAACAAGCGTAATTTATTCCTGATTTTTGCTCGATATTAATAACGGCAACAGGTAGAAATATTCACAGAATAAAGATTTTATCGGTTTCTATAATCACTTGACAACAATTAAAGCGTCGTACACAACCCTTCATGCGCGACTCGCATTTGGCCAGTTTTTTCAGCCAAGCTATATTTTGTGGTTACACAATACATTAATTTATTTTCAAGAAGCTCAAAATTGTACAGCGTGCTATGGAAAGAGCTATACTCGGTGTTTCTTTACCAGATCGAATCAGAAGTGAGGAGATCCGAAAACGAACTAAAGTCGCTGACATAGCCGAACGGATTAGCAAGCTGAAGTGGCAATAGGCAGAGCATATAGTATGCAGAACTGACGGCCGATGAGGCAGCAAGGTTCTGGAGTGGAGGCAACGTACCGGAAAACGTAGCGTGGGACGTCCACCCACAAGGTAGACCGACGACCTGATAAATGTAGGAAGGCGCTTGATGCAGGCCGCTACCAACCGTGCGATATGGAAATCATTGGGGGAGGCCTATGTTTAGCAGTGGACGTCCTGTGGCTGAAATTATGATCATTATGGGTTGGATGCATGCAAAGTCGCGAGCAATAGCAAGTTGCCTACCTATATCAGCCTATCACATAAACCATCGTACATTACGATGCAATGTTATCAGATTATTCTGATAAGATTTCAGTTTCAGGAAAAGTGCACTTTTGAGTGCTGGTTTGGCCGTGGCCCAAATATTATTATCTTTACAAAAGCTAGTAAAGTGCTTAAAATACCACTAATTCTTTTATTTAATGGGGTATTGGGACTACAGTGCCTAAAGACGAAAGTCTTTAAACGGTATCCTTCCGTTTGGCCAAATTACTTTTCGCCAAATTTCACTTCGCAAACAACTTATCGCCAAAGTTTCATTTCCCAAATGAACTTTTAGCAAATTTACTTTTCGCAACTATTTCATTTGGTCAAATTATCATTTGGTCAAATTTTACTTGGCAAATGTTTATATAGCAAATGTTTTATTTTGCCAAATATTATATCCCAAATAATTTATTTAGTCAAATTGACACTTCACATGCTTACCCACCGTTACCCACAAATCAAAGCACAAGGCAAATTATCATGGTTTTCACAAGAATTTTATGTAAAACAAAGAGATTGCAGAAAATAGTATGGATGCGAAAGTAGGTTTTGCAGAAAATAGTAGGTTAGGTTAGGTTAGAACAGTGACCCTTAACGCGCGAAGGCGAGCGAAGCGTGCCGCGGCAGCGGCCGCCGAGCGCTAGAATCATCTCTATTGTTAATTAATCATTTAGTTTCGATAAAAATAATGAAATATGAAAATAAATTTAGAACAAATTTTATATTATCTACCCACTAAACAAAATAATAACCACAAGCTAATTTGTATTCCATTCTATGCACCAATCAAATTATTTTGTAAATAGTTTATCGTGAAATATTTTTGCCAAATGAAACATTTGGCAAAACATACTTTGCCAAACAATAATTTGCTAAACAATAATGTGCCAAAAAAGACATTTGCGAATTAAAAGTTTGCAATAAGTTGTTTTGCCAAATGAGAATTTGCCAAATGAAAATTTGCGAAACGTTGTTTGCCATGTGATAATTTGGGAAACGTTTTTTGGCCAAACATTAGTAATCCTCTTTAAACAGTGTGTGTTACCAGTGATGATATACCTAAGTACGGCTCGGAAACGTGGCCTCATAAATAAGCTCAAAATTGCACAGCGTGCTATGGAGAGGCCTATGCTAGGTGTTTCTTTGCGAGATCGAATCAGAAATATGAACTATGTTTACCTGGAGTGGTGACAGGTCACGTTATTACTCAGTCTCATATAAATTAATCTTTGTTTTATTGGAAACCAGCTGACCCGGCGAACTTTGTTCCGCCTTAATGGCAATAAATAAGCAGACTTTTTTTTTATTTCGAACGGGATAAAAAGTATCCTATGTCCTTCTCCTGGCTCTAAACTACCTCCCTGACAATTTTCAGCTAAATCGGTTCAGCCGTTCTTGAGTTATAAGTGAAGTAACTAACACGACTTTCTTTTACATATATAGATAAATGTTGTTAATGATCTCTACTGTTAAGGAAAAATAATTCTAATAAAAAGCCGAAGATAAAGCTAGATAACTTCTATGGTCATAATAATTTATTAACGGGATTGCTACCATAATATACCTTAATTTTGAGTTTATTAATTTAATTATTCTATATCAATTATTATGTTAGTGACCATGAAAATTTAAAACAATATGTATAGGACCACACACAGAGGCACACTCATATTTACTCAGAATTCTAACTGAATAAATATGAGTGTGCCTCTACCAACCTACGCTTTCAAAGTATGAAAAACTAAAAGAATATGTATGTACTTAGGTCTGCCAAATCATCGGTTGTATTTTAGGAACTTATCTTTATCGCAGGATTAAGTGCAAGTATAAAAGTGAGTAAACTGTAGCATGAAACATTTAGTTTGCGAAAGACTCCAACCAAAATGGCCTACTTTGGAAAGGAATTCTCCTTCGAAAGGGAAGAAAATTTCGATGCATTCGCCGATTTTATTGGTTAGTAATAATTTATTATTGTGCAAAATATAAATATAAGTATCTACATAAGGTACCTACCTACCTAAGGAATTTGAACTTGCGTGCACTTTGAGCTTTAGCCGTTTAAACTTTGCTTAAAATATGTAAAATATACAATAATGAAGTTTATTCTGTAAACATTTCAAAAACCTGTTATTTACCTATAGATAAGTGTTTATGAATCGTTGCGCAAAAGGGAGTAGGTAAAGTTTAATTTTCTTTCTATTGGAGAGCTTTGGAGAGGTGCAAAGTGCAATATTATACCTACTCCTTAAAAGTTATTAAACTTGATGTCAACGGTGATGTCTAGTTTGTAGTCTGTAATTTAATGTTTTTATTCGATGGCTTATCAATTGCCTTTAGGAAACTAAACTCCGGTTGGGGTTGCCACTTCAAATCTCAGGGAGGGAAAATTACAGTAGATATGATAGCCGATAGGTAAGCATGATCCTTTTATATTTATTTATTTATTTATTTAAAATCTTTATTGCACACATAAAAAACAGTGGTACAACAGGCGAGCTTAATGCCATGTGGCATTCTCTTCCAGCTAACCAGAAAATTAGACAAAACAGAGAATTTAAGTATATTCGGGATCTAAAGTAAGTACCTACTTTTCACTTTCACTTAGTAAAACAAAAAGGTCTTTAAAGACGTTATTGTACTAGCTTGACTTACTTGACTTATGGTCCTATGTCCCCTAGATGGGGCAGAGGGCGACCACAACAGTCCTCCATCGCGTTCGGTCTTGAGCTATGTGTTTGATCTCGCTCCAAGTCTTGGCGATCTTCTTCGCCTCGTCTGCCACAGTGCGCCGCCAAGTTTGCTTGGGGCGACCACGTTTGCGTTTTCCTTGGGGGTTCCAATCCAGAGCCTGCTTGGGGATGTGATCGGGATCCCTTCGGAGAGTGTGGCCAATCAAAATTGATTATTGTACTAGCGCAAGCTCCAGTAAGTTTTAAAAGAAAAATTGGTTTATTGGTGCGGTATATTGACCTAAGATGGCAAAAGCATCTACATAATTACCAATTTTTCTTTCTTGTTTCCAGGTGCCTTTGACGCCAACGCCAAGGGCTTTATGCAGTACAAGCCGAACCAGATCCTCGAGAAGAACGGGGACTCCTACAAGCTGATCTTCAAGACCCCAGCCCTGAACCACGAGGTGGTGTTCAAGTCTGGAGTGCCTTACAGCGACGTCATCCGTGAAGGTTTGACGGTAAGAGGATGTTATTTCTGGTTAGTTTCTGCCGTCGGTATTACTTGCGCCTTTCTATTTTTTACAGAAAGTATTTCATATCACGCGACTTACAGTCATGAAAATGAAAATCCGAAAAATCAAAAACTTTAACAACAAACACTAAGGGCCGGTTTCTGAATTTACAGTATGACTGTGCTCATCTTCTCCTCAAGAATCTAATGTGAAAAGTTCAAATTGATTAGAAGATGACCACGCTCAAGCCAAATAAGTAGGTACCTACCTGAATTCAGAAACCGGACCCAGCATCTTACATCACATGTGAAAAAATTTAGGTAGATACTTAGTACTTGCTCTACCTATTTATTAAAATATCTCTTCAACTAAGACTTGAACCAATTTATCCTCTACCTACAACCTGTTTTGAGGAATTTTGTACCCTTTCTTACCTTAAGCTTACACTTGGCTGGATTTTCACTTTTCAGGCCGAGTCCACCATCACCGTCGATGGAGACACCTTCACCCAGGTCCAGGACTACGGCCCCCTTGGCTCCATCACCTTCAAGAGAGAGTACAGCGCCGACCAACTTAAAGTGGTAAGTGACTGGTATTGCAAAAAAAAACATAGAAAACAACCTAAGAGAAAAACTTTAACTTTATCATTAGACTTTTTTTATAATCATAATGTCAGATAATTATTTGACATACTAAATTTTATTCTTTCAAACTTTTAACACACTTTTTTCTCGACTTCTCGGTTGTAGTGCCTCGATTGTAGTAATTATAGCTTAATTATCATATGATAATAATAAGTTAAATAACAACATAATTAGGTATACCACGGCTATTATCATTTTCAGACATTTGAGAGCTTTTATTAAAAGTTTTGGAACACGAAGCCGTGTGGTGACGGTTACCTTGATGTTACTACTGAAGGTAGGCAGTACACTGAGACCAAAAAAAATTGGTTCATAATCGGCGGAAATATTGCGTATAAAAAAGTTTATCCCCAATTTTCCACCCTGGGGGGTGAAATATTTTCTTCAAATTCGCATGAAACCACCCTTTTGATAATACCTATTCAACAAAAAAATAATCGTTCAAATTGGTTTATAATCGGCGGAGATATTGCGTATAAAAAAAAGTTCATCCCCAATTTTCCACCCTTGGGGGTTGTTTTTTTATTATTTTGCTATAAATGTAAGCCAACGAAGAAATAATTTTAAAATTGCAGTTATAAACTAACTATTGTAAATAACGAGACACCAATTCACAAGTTTTGATCTGTTATTGTAATAAAATACTTTTTCACCGAATATATTAGGTATTTGTATTATTTATAATTAGGTACATATCAGTAAATCAACCGACCAGTGACTAAGTAAGTACACTTTTGATAACTTATCAGAACGAACACTCGCAATTTTCTGCGTATCATGTGCACCTAAAAAGTATTTTTAATAATATGACACCATGGTAGTGATGTGACCGCACAGTTCTGAATTTATGAGGCTTGCTTTATGAGCCACTGATGCCACAATAGTATTATGGCTTGATCTGATTAAATTGGTGGCTCAACGTGCCCTCTAATAGCTACTTCAAATCGTATAAATTTACACTTATGAGGGCACATTTCGCCCTGGCTGGTCAGATTGAGCCACGTCAGACCTTGATCGATAAGAAATGATAAATTATTGTACTGTAATGTACCGTAATCGATTTATAATCTCGCGTAAGAAAGTGACTCTCGTAATTAATTTGCGCGGGCCACGTAGGGGACATCTTCAAACCCCATAGGTGGGGCTGGCGGAGCGTTTACCTGGGCCCATTCATTAGAAGACCACCCTCAGTATTCCTTTGATCAGCAGAGCTGACTGAGCCCTATTGACATAAAAAATGTGAGTAATTTTGAAGAGTTCTCCAGACAGCCTGAGCTACAGCTACATCTCGTTCGCCCACGAACTTTTGCAATTTCAGCTGAACTATTGAACGACGAATGCAACAACACAGTTTGCGAAGAAGTCTCTGAATTCAGTTAAGTGGCATAGAGTAAGTAGACCCGAGAGATCATAGATGATCTGAGAGTAGACCGTAACCCGCTACGGTGCCGGTGGGCCGGGGGTCCTGTTATACTATACTATATAATGAGAACACTGGTTAAAAACAACTGAACGAAGGGGTTGGGGGTCCCCTCGAAGAGGGAGTAGCTTGAAACGGAGATGCGGACGAATATCCAAGTTAGGATAATAACTCCCGTTTCATTGGGCTCGGGTGTTTTAGTATACAGGGTGGAAACGTTAAGTGATCTCACTCGATTATTTCTAAACTATACAAGATATCGGAAAACTGATTACTGATTCTGAAAGTGCTTCACAAGCTCTTTCAAAAGGTTCCAATAATAGGTTACAGAATAAACTGGATCTATCCGAAAATTCAATGTTTCCAGCTTCCATACATTTAGTAAAACCACATAATATTAAAAATTATACAAGATATTCCAAAACTGGTTATTGATCCTGAAAGTGCTACACGAGCTCTATCCAACGGTACCAATAATATGTTACTTCAATGTTTTCAATGTTTCCAGCTTCCATACATTTAGTACAGCCACAGTCATGGCACTCATGTCTTGATAATATTATAGCAAGTAAAGCCTTAAACCAATGTTTTCAAAGAATAATTTTAAATAAGAATGCAATTTATGAGTTCATTTTAAATGTTTATTACTTAATAACAAAAATTTATACTTGTAATATATGTAATATAAAATTTATATTTGGCTGGCATAGGTACTTTAGTATGGAGGCTGGAAACATTTAATTTTCGGATAGATCCAGTTAATTCTGTAACCTATTATTGGTACCGTTGGATAGAGCTCGTGAAGCACTTTCAGGATCAGTAACCAGCTTTTCGATATCTTGTATAACTAGTTTAGAAATAATCGAATGAGATCGCTTATCGTTTCCACCCTGTAGATAGGCGTGGGGAAAGTCCATAATTCACTGGCTGTCCCAATCGGCCAGTGGGTTTTCTGACGTAACGTAAGACGTAAAGAAAAACCTACAATAGTGTATGATATTTATACTACGTTAAATTAGTGTAAATACTGATGACGCAAAGCCGAAACTCATCTATTATTTTTGATAAAAATATTATTAGATAGAGTCACAAATTAAAGTTCATCGTGATAAGTTTCTAAGACCGTTATCAGTGTGACAAACTAATCTCTATTATAAATTAGGGTCATGTGTGGGGAAATAGTCATTCGTTAATCCAGTTAACTTGTTAGAAGTATTACCTCTTCAATTTTTAATAATTTCCACAAATTACCATTCAAAATGGCCTACTTCGGAAAGGAGTTCAAAGTTGTGAGTGAGGAGAAATACACTGATTTTATTAAGGCTTTGGGTAAGTTATCTTTAGAATAATTTGTCTCTACATACATCTACAACATGTCAATTTTAGTTTAGTAAATGCCATGGGGCAATCTAACTCTAGATTAATTTATTAACCTATTATCATTCATGTTTGTGGATATTAAAATCTTACGAGCTTTATTCTACCTACTTCTATCTGTAGGCTTACCATGAGTTTACGTTAGGTGTCCTCGCTAGCGACTGCGTAAAAAAATGACATTAATTGTATGACATATTGTGCAGCGCCCCTAGCGGCTACTTTCAAGAAATAAAATGTTCATAGAATATTTTGACGTATTCGCTAGCGAGCTCACCTAACGTAAACTCATGGTAGGCACACTGATCAAATTATTCTGACCACTATGTAATTGCATGGATTCTTTGTGATGGGGCAATATCATTTGGAGAACAGTCTATGAGCCAGTCGTGTCACTTGAATGAAGATAGTCATTTGAAAGTGTCACAGTGGCATCTTAAATGCTACCTTATCCTATCTAATATGGGTGCTATTTTGCAAAGAAAATTGTTTTCTTATGTGCTGAAATCTACTACGAATCTACTATTCTTATTTACAGAGCTCCCCGAGGAAATGACCGCAAAGTTCTCCGCCTACAAGCCCGTCTCGAAGATTGAGAAGGATGGGGACTCCTACAAATTCACCAACACCACTCCGGAGGGCTCGAAGGTGACCACCTTCAAGTCTGGAGTCGAGTTCGAAGATGAGATCAGACCTGGCGTTAAGGTACCAACTTAGTTACATTTTTGGAGTTTGTGAAAAAGACCGGCAAGCAGTCGGATTGCTTTTAAAACGACTGCCGACTTAACAACATTTCTGTAATAAAATTATGACTGGTTTGGTTTTTATCATCGTTAACCAGAATACTTATTTCCGAGAGAAATTAAAATAACCTGAAGATTGCTCATTCTGATGAATTAGACATTCCCTTTGATTTGACTGACAAGTCCAAGACTTACCAGTTCTAGGAGTAACACTTACAACTACCTACATTAGTACTATAGTACGCGGGAAACACCTGGATGCGGTTAGCGAAGGTTCTGTCATTCTGGAAATCCTTGGGCGGGGCCTTTGTCCAGTAGTACTTCTAGGAGCTTCAAATATAAAATACCAAAGATTGTTGACAATGACTCTTTATGCTTCTTTATTTTCCAGGTCAACTGCAAATACACCGTGGACGGCGACACCGTGACCCAGGAAATCTCACAAGGTGGCAAAACCGTTACATTCAAGAGAGAATACTCCGCCAATGACCTCACCACGGTAATTTGGACTTTGGTTAATTTTATTTTAAGCATTGATCAGCATTTTCTTTATCTGTTAGTACGTATAGATACATGCTGGAAACGATAAGTGATATCACTTGATTATTTTTAAACTACCTACTTATTACGAGATATCGAAAAACTGGTTACTCATCCTGAAAGTGCTTCATGAGCTCTATCAAACGGTATTAATAAATAGGTTACAGGAATATACCAGATCTATCCGAAAAAATACCTAGAAAATTACTGAAATAACGATAATACTTACTTATGCATATTTATTTTGTTACAGACAATCACAGCCAACTTCTGGGATGGTACCGCCGTCAGACACTACAAAGCTTGAATTTATAGTTTCTAAATCATAGGTTTTGTTGTTAAATTATTGTTAAAAAGTCTTCATTAGATATAAGAAATTAAATAATATAATTTATTGAATCCAAATGTTTTATTTTACTTTTATTAAGTAGGTAAGCCTACCTAGGCTAGACCTAACAGTAACAAAATCTATTAGTATAATACCTATATATGATATTACTAGCTTTCCGCCGCACAGTAGTTTGATTTTAAAATTAGGTGGACATACGATCGAAAGTCATAATTTCACCGAAACAAAAATTGTTTTGGATAGCATTTTGAATGCTGATCAACATTTGTAATTATGCATTTTTCGATAAAACGAGCCTTTCATGCTTAAAAAAAATATGACAAGAAAATTTGTATGGAGAAAAATCTTTTTTATTTTTTTTCTGGCTACTGTTGCAAACTGTAGCAGTCAAACCTTATGTAGTCGTAAGTACCTATGGTGCCTAACATTACGACATAAATATTTTTTGCGGGCACGCGCGGCGAACGAGTAATGGACATGCAAAATTTTAAATATTTTTATTTATTCATTATTGATTTTAATGCACTTAAAGTAATTATTAATAGATAAATATACTAAGTCTAACTTATTACAGCCCCCTATTACCTCATTTCACGCTAAAACCTTTCAAACTATTACGGATCTCCTCCTCATTTCTGATTCGATCTTGTAAAGAAACACCGAGCATAGCCCTCTCCATAGCACGTTGTGCAATTTTGAGCTTATTTATAAGGCCTATATTGAGAGGCCACGTTTCCGAGCCCTATTGCCACACATTATTGCAGATCCATTATGTACCTATAGTTTTATATGCCAGCTAACGTACACAACAACTGCTGATACATGGTGCAGATAATGTGATAACATTTTGGTGTACTGCAAACCTGCCTATTGGATTCTTTCGGAAAAAGTAAGTATGTGAGTGACTTTGATTATTTTGAACACTCTGATCGAGATAAGTGAATAGGCTAAAATATCTTTTTTTGATTTGTTTTTCGAACGAAGATAATAATTGAAGACATGAATGGAAGAAGGTGATAAATGTCGGATTTCAGATTTTTCTCAGTTCGATGATTGGGTAAAGGTATGCTTTATGCTTTATGTTTGAGGCTACTAATACAGGTGTTATGTACGTTATCTTTTTAGACGAAGGGAAATAAACTTACACCTCTTTAAAGGAGCCAAAGAAAAATAATATTTTTGTGAAAGTATAAGACTATTCAACAGAAATACTGGAAATTACAGTTCTATCAAAATTGAAACTATCCCGCTACCTACTCGATAACTATATACTACGTAATCGATTATGACAGTCAAAATGATTTAAGGATCTATTCAGGACTACTCTAGAAAGTTAAAAAATCTTTCATAACCATTGAAGTCAAGGATTCTTGCTTGAAGACTTTTTTTAATCATGTACCTATGTCGGTATTATAAGTGCCAAGAAGTAGGTATATACCTAGGTAAAGGGTTGATATCTACTAGAGATGGGATATACTAGGTAAATTTGATACTAGGTGCACCTATTCCTAGTATTTATTAATACTCGATCCAAATACCTGTTCCACCTAGTACGTAGTAATTTAGCATACTTGACGCGACTAGTGCGGACTAATCCACGTAATGTGACTTTAAAATACAATTTTCTTTGAAAAGATACAACCGTAGTATGAATAATGCAATTTGAAATTGAATAATAATTCCTCCCTTCATACTTCAACAGGCTTAGGACTGTCAACTTAAAAGTTGACGTATTTAAAAGATATCAATTTTATAAAAATATTTACATATTTTTTCTTATTTACATGAATATGGTTTGACTACGTTTGTGTGCGTTTGCTTCGTCGCGCTCAAATTTGTTTGGTCAGACAGAGACGGAGTGAATCTCTACGTTCGCACATAAGCTTAGCGAAAAATACTAGGTGCGCGTTATACACGACTAGGGATTACGCAATAATAACCTCTATTACTTTGACGGTAGGGTCGGAAATCGTGTAATTTATAAAATACTAGGTGGATCAAGTATTTAAAAAATTGGAATAGGTGCCGCCTAGTACTGTAAAATACCTAGTGTGTGGATCTGTTCTAGTAAATACGTCTCATCTCTAATATCTACCTAATCTATCTTACACGATAACCAGTAGACCAGTAGTGAATATTGATGATGATGATCCATCCGACCGATTTCGGCCATGGCGACCACTCAGACTCCTAGCTGTCTTGGCGGCGCTGGTGTGCCCGAAGATGGCTTACGTAGCCTATTTTCGCGGTAAAATCCCTCGCGCATTGAGGGCATCTGAGCACGCCGCCAACATAGTTATAGTGAATGGCGGCAGATGGACGGGCCTTCAAGTCATCGCGCTTCGCGTCGAGTTTAGTCGTACGCTGTACCTCGAACTCGTGGACTTGCCTTTTCACAATTTCCCGCCATTCTGGACGCTGTGCTGCCAAACCTTCCCACTGAGAGGGCTCAATGTTGCATCTTTTCATGTGCCGCTTCTGTACATCTTTGTACCTGAGGAGTTGACCGCCATGTTTCCGCTTACCCTCCTCAAGTTCAGAGTAGAAGATGCGCTTCGCCACTCTCTCCTCCGTCATACGTGATACGTGACCACACCATCGAAGTTGGCGACGCATTATATAGGCCTCAATGCCACCCACATGGGCTCGTCGTAGCACCTCGGTATTGCGCACTCGATCAGACCATCTGATCTTCATGATGGTACGAAGGCATTTGAGGTGGAAACGATCCAGTGTGCGTATATGGTGGCGATACACGCACCACGCCTCGGAGGAGTACAGTAGGTTTGGCAGCACAACCGCCATGTATATTGAAATTTTTGTAGCCAGCTTTAGGTCATGCGAGCAGAAAACCTTGGAACGCAGCTTCCCAAATGCTGCAGCTGCAGCACTGATCCTGCTGCTGATCTCGGCATCAAGGTCACATTTGGATGTTATAGTACTCCCCAGATATCGGAACTTATCCACCTGTTTCAGTACATCCTCACCAAGCATAATGCTTAGAGACTCGTGGTCATTTGTGTTTAAAGACATCACTTCTGTCTTCTTGACACTTATCTTCAGGCCGAACTTGCAGCATGCCTGGTGAAAGACGGACATCAGTTGTTGCAGGCCTTCTGAGGATTCTGCTAGAAAGCACAAATCATCAGCATACATGATCTCAGTGATCAGTGCATACGAGACTTTAGTGCGCGCCTTAAACAACTTAGACTACCTAGTACCTACAAGCTTAGGTTCTAGTTTGAAAGGTTTTAGCGTGAAATAAGGTAATAGGGGCTGTAGTAAGTTAGACTAAGTATATTTATCTATTAATAATTACTTTAAGTGCATTAAAATCAATAATGAATAAATAAAAATATTTAAAATTTTGCATGTCCATTACTCGTTTCGCCGCGCGTGCCCGCAAAAAGTATTTATGTCGTAATGTTAGGCACCATAGGTACTTACGACTACATAAGGTTTGACCGCTACAGTTTGCAACAGTAGCCAGAAAAAAAATAAAAAAGATTTTTCTCCATACTTTTCTTGTCATATTTTTTTTAAGCATGAAAGGCTCGTTTTATCGAAAAATGCATAATGACAAATGTTGATCAGCATTCAAAATGCTATCCAAAACAATTTTTGTTTCGGTGAAATTATGACTTTCGATCGTATGTCCACCTTTTATTAAAATCAAACTACTGTGCGGCGGCTTCGCCCGCGTGGAATTTTGTCTGTCACAGAAAAACTTTATCGCGCGCGTCCCTGTTTCAAAAACCGGGTTGAAAACTATCCTAAGTCCTTTCCCGGGACTCAAACTATGCCAAATTTCATCAAAATCGGTTCAGTTGTTTAGGCGTGAAAGAGAGACAGACAGACAGAGTTACTTTCGCATTTGTAATATTAAATAGGTATAGATTTAATGTAAGATTAGTGTAATAAATAGATGCGATGCAACAACCTAAACTCCCAAATCTAAGTTCAGTAAAACGTGATAATTTTAAAAACCGTTATCAGTGTGACAAAGTAATTTGTTATCAAATCGCCATCTCTCTTATAAATTCGGGTCATGTGTGGGAAATTGGCATTCGTTAATCCAGGTCCGCGATACTTGCAATAAGTATACCACTGCTCATTACCAATTAAAATGGCTTACTTTGGAAAGGAATTCAAACTTGTGAGTGAGGAGAATTTCGTTGACTTTATTAAGGCTTTGGGTAAGTTACCGATAGATTTTTATTTTTATTTTCGGCACTTAAATTCGGTACTTTGATTTGTAAAAAATTATACTTAAGTTACAGTCAAAACTCATAATCGGTCAAAACTACTTTTGACTGCAAAAATCAGTCAAAAAGTTAACCTGACGAATACCCAGATTTCTTAAAAGTAGTACCTACCTACCTAAAGGTAGGTGTGATAATTTTGTATGCACAAATCGAAAAAAAAAGTCGGTTAAAATTATTTTATGACACATTTTTTATGATTTCTAAGTAATTTTCACTAATCATAACACTGTATGAATTTGTCTGATTGGTAAAATTTTAAATCAGGCGAAACCACTTATTGACTGATTTTTTGCATTCAAAAGTGATTTTGACTAACGCGCTTGGTCAAAACCAAGGTCATCTGTCAAAACCACTTTTGACTGTTTTTTGCAGTTAAAGGTGGTTTTGACCGATTATTAGTTTAGACTGTAACACATAGGTACATACATAAGAGACAAAAGACAAATGAAATAAAGTCACCGCTTACATGTCTGGGATATGGATATTCAAATCTTTCGAGCTGCATAATAATATAAATATTATTTGACAATAGTCTCCACTGCAGGAGCAAAATCCTTTGTTAACCATAGGGAAATGGGGGATTTGGCTTAAACTCTCCTCCTCCACTAACCAGACGGGTTAGTTTTGCTCTCTTAGTCGCTTTTTATGATATCCAACGAAAGACTGGGAGTGGTCCTACTCTGCAAACACACAATACAAAGCCATCAGATAAGTAAAATGAACTATACCTACTGGTCATCACAAAAATCGACCCACCTACGTTTTACAGGAAAACTCGTTTCTACTGACACAATCATGGTGCCCCAACAATATTGGTGTTATTTGAAAGCCCAATAAATATCCTTAAAGAAAAACACATTTAATTTCTTAATAAACGATTGTGACTTGACTTAACATAATTATACAATAAATGTGACTTGAAAAAAGACCTCACTTTGGGCTCACCTCTGGGATCAATGAGACCAATTTTTATGGTTATAAAACCAAATAATGATCTCACGTGTCCTCTTTAACAGATTAATAGCGATTAATCCCAACTTAACAGTTTTATAGCCATAAAAGTTGGCTCCAACGTAACTACCTATTTTTTGAAGAAGTGACTCTGGAATTCTGGATTCTTCTACAGACACATTTTTGGGGTAAAAAAAACCTTTCCTTTAATGAAATGAAGTTTAGAACTAGGATTTTAAATGGTGCCAATATTAGTGGGAAGTGGGGATGCATACGTTTGAAAGAAAGTGCTTGTCGCGGGAGGGTCGATTTTTGTGATGACCAGTGTAGTTACATCGAATTGTATGCCTAGACCCATTATGTCAGTATTTCAGAGGATTAAAAGACCAGTATGAGTATAGTACGTACGTACAGCTTATACATAAAGTATATATTGAAAGCTTCACGGTAGTTTTAAGCACTGTGGCATCTAACTCTATCTTATCCTAACTTACATAATATGTGCTACTTATTTTGCAAGAAGCTTCGTTCGTTCGTTTCAGCCGGCGCCGCCCGCATTCAGGCACTTCCCGCGACATTCACCAGATCCACCTAGTGTACTAATATGCTGAAGACTACAATTCTTATTTACAGAGCTCCCCGAGGAACTGGCCGCTAAGTTCTCCTCTTACAAGCCCACCACGAAGATTGAAAAGGATGGAGACTCCTACAAATTCACCAACACCACCCCGGAGGGCACAAAAGTGACTACCTTCAAGTCTGGAGTGGAGTTCGAAGATGAGGTCAGACCTGGAGTTAAGGTAGGTACTGGAAATATATTTACAAATTATTTGAATTTCTAAGTGACACAGACTTCAGAGAATTGCAGCTCATCACAAACTGAAATTGTGAGTGGAAGTTAGACTTTAAAAAATTGTATAAAATTATTCACCTAATATAGTAAGGTAATTGAGTAAATTTTGACAATGTTAAAAACCAGAATAATTCTAAGGCTGAGTTGCAGCACCACCTAACTTTAATCGTAACTACATAAAATGATAATGCGAGCCTAACGCCCAAATTCACAAATATTATTATGAGGTCTCACAGTGCGCGTGGACGCACAGGGTGACACAGGAACCAATCAAAGAGATCTATTCACCGCTGTGCGTTCGATTTGCTGCTTCACTTAAGCAAGTATCCTAGCGTAAGGTACCTACAAATTCGTAAGACAACATGAAACCCATTTATGGTTTATTTTTTACCAAGTCATTACCAAAATAAAAGAAGAAAAAGAAGGTTTTTTGTTTTGAATAAAAATTTACCTATTAGTTCTAGGCTAGGTTACCTAAGATTATTGACACCAGCTGAATGACTCTATTTTGTAGGTCAACAGCAAATACACCGTGGACGGTGACACTGTCATCCAGGATATCACACAAGGCACCAAAATCGCTAAATTCAAGAGGGAATACACAGCCGATGCACTCACCACGGTAATTTGACTTTGATTATATCGACTTATGCATCAATCACTAAGTAATAATTTTTAAGTGACCCCTATGGTAACACTCTATTTAATGGTTATTTAATGTTCAATACTCAATTTTTTATTGCATCCATTATGTTTTTAAAATTAGAACATTATGGGCCATTTAATTTATAAACTGCATGTATTTTATTTGTGACCTAAGTGTATGATATGTTTATTTTATTTTTAAGCTTGTAAGCGCTTTGGACCTGCTCTGTAAGCTTAGGGGGAGTCCGGGAGAGTTTACCCGCCTTCCACTAAAATGCTCATAAATATTTCTATACTTACAAATCGCTATTTTTTATTAATTGTATGTTAAGCTACATTATTTAGCTATATTTTCTTCTAAGACA